CTGTAGGACTTGCTCCTGATTGGAGGAGAGCAGCGTGCTCGGCGTGTGGGCAGCCGAGTTGGGATTGGCAGAGGAGGACTATAAAGGAGGAGAGAGACGGCGTGCACCAGGAACATCTAAGGGGAACATCTAAGGGGAACATCTAAGGGGAACACCTGTGCAGCCCCCAAGAGAGCCGGCCGGCGGTGTGCCGCTCCCCTGCGGAAGTGGGGAATGTGGCCAGGGGGAACTGCCCTTCCACGGAGGTGGAAGGGATAGTAGCCAACCCGGGAAGAACCAGCAGCAAACCCGGGGAGGGCCGAGCAGACGAAAGAACAGCGCAGGGTCCTGTGTCGTTCCTCCACGAAGAGGGGGAGCGACATAATGGTGCCGTGACTCGGATATGAAGCCTAGCCAGGGCTTAGTGTCGTTCCTCCACGAAGAGGGGGAGCGACAGCTTCCCATTCAGATGTGTTCATTTTTAATTTTTTAAAAAATAACTAATTTTATTTATTCCAAAGGCAGAGACAGCACACAGAGATTTCCCGTCTGCTGCCTCACTCCCCAGATGCCTGCCAGTCACGCACGCTGGGCCAGGCCTAACGAAGCTAGGAGCAGGGAACTCCATCAGGGTCTCCGAGTGGGTGGCAGGGATCCAAGTCCTCCCTGCTCTTTAACAGGAAGCTGTAACTGAGAGTGGAGCCAGGACTTGAACCCAGGCACTGTGATGCAGGATGCGGGGATCTCAGATAGCATATTAAATATTTATTTATCTGAATGGTAGTGACAAAGAGAGACATACACAAATTTTCCTCCTGCTGGTTCACTCCCCAAATGGGCAGAACAGCTGGGGCTGGGCCAGGCTGAACCCAGGAGCCTGGACCTCCATCCACTTCTGCCACATGGGTGGCAGTGGCCCATGTACTTGGATCATCTTCCACTGCTTTCTCAGGCGGCACTTTAATTGCTGCCCCAAATGTGTTCATGTTTCAATAAGCTGAGTTTGTAGTGTTCTGTCCCATCGACACTGGCCTAGAACGCAGAGCTTCCCTTACCAGGAGGCTGCAATGCTGATTCTCTTACTGTACCTCCCACTCCCACTCCCACTTGGTTCCCTACAATGTGGCTTTTGACAGCTTCCTTCGAAGGTGCTGTCACCGAGGAGACCAACTACTCAGAACTCCAAAACGGAATGCATTACCCTAGCATGTAGCCCACCGCTCTCCCGCCTTCAACAGAGTACCATTCAGCGGTACTTCAACAAAGTAGCCGAGCTCTGAGGCTGGAAGTAGACAGCCGAGCGAGTGCCAGCAAGGTGGCTCAGGTGAGGGACGGCTGACTTCTGGTGTCTGCATGTGACAGGAAGGGAGTCAGACGGCTCTCTGAAGTCTCTCTTTTTTTTTTTTTTTTTTTTTTAGATTTTTTATTTTATTTACTTGACAGGTAGAGTTACAGACAGTGAGAGGGAGAGACAGAGAGAAAGGTCTTCCTTCCGTTGATTCACCCCCAAATGGCTGCTACAGCCAGAGCTATGCCAATCTGAAGCCAGGAGCCAGGTGCTTCTTCCTGGTCTCCCACGCAGGTGCAGGGCCCAAGCACTTGGGCCATCCTCCACTGCCTTCTCGGGCCACAGCAGAGAGCTGGACTGGAAGAGGGGCAACCAGGACTAGAACCCAGGGCCCATATGGGATTCCGGTGCAGATGGAGGATTAGCCAAGTGAGCCACAGTGCCGGCCCCTGGGGTCTCTTTTAAAAGCACACTAATCCCATTTCTGAGGACTCCACCCTCATGACCTAATTACCTTCTAAAGCCATCACGCTGAAGGACTGAACGCATCGGAAGATTGTGGGAAGACACATTCCATCCATAACACTTAGTAACCAAGCCTCAAATCTGGAAGTCAACCGAGACATGTCCCCTAGCAACCAGGTTCTGTGATTCAATCTCCCAAACATCTTTTCAAAATGCACCCTCTTCAATGAAGAATCAAAAAAACTTCTCAGTAATCCCAGTTCCAAGCTGGGAACTGGTCTGCCTGTCTCAACATTTCTTTCTTTCTTTCTTTCTTTCTTTCTTTCTTTCTTTCTTTCTTTCTTTCTTTCTTTCTTTCTTTCTTTCTTTCTTTCTTTTCTTTCTTTTCTTTCGACAGGCAGAGTGGACAGTGAGAGAGAGAGACAGAGAGAAAAGTCTTCCTTTGCCGTTGCTTCATCCTCCAATGGCCGCCACGGCTGGCGCACTGCGGCCGGCGCACCGCGCTGATCCAAAGCCAGGAGCCAGGTACTTATCCTGGTCTCCCATGCGGGTGCAGGGCCCAAGCACTTGGGCCATCCTCCACTGCCTTCCCTGGCCACAGCAGAGAGCTAGCCTGGAAGAGGGGCAACCGGGACAGAATCCGGCACCCTGACCGGGACTAGAACCTGGTGTGCCAGCACCGCAAGGCGGAGGATTAGCCTAGTGAGCCGCGTCACTGGCCTTTCAACATATCTATTTCTATCCACCTGTCCATGCAGTATTTTTCTAAAAAATCAGTCCCCGTCACTTTTCTTTTACAATACCTTCTACAGGCACACATATTGAGATTGGCATGACTTTACCTGTCCTTCAAGATTTCCCAGAACGGGGCCAGCACTGTGGTGCAGTGGGTTAAAGCCCTGGTCTGCAGCGCCGGCATCCCATATAGGTGCCAGTTCAAGTCTCGGCTGCTCCACTTCCGTTCCAGCCTGGGAAAGCAGTGGAGGATGGCCTGCATTCGCGTGGGGAACCTGGATGAAGCTCCTGGCTTCAGATCAGCGCAGCTCTGGCTGTTGCAGCCATTTGGGGTGTGAACCAGCAGATAGACTTCTCTCTCTGTCTCTACCTCGCAAATAAATAAATGAAATCTTAAAAAATTTTTTTTCCAGAAAGCAGGATTAAGTCCAATTCCCTCCCTGCACACTTTCTGCTACTGTGGTGTAGTCTTCAGGTGCGTCTCCCAGAAGGCCAGGCTGGGGTGGGGGGGGAGGGGTGGCTCTCGGCTTCTCAGATCCTCCTACCATTAGCTATTCAAGGCTCCACGGATGCTGAAGTCCTGGAGGGAGGAGTTCTGGTCCCTTTTATCGCCAGAATACTCAGCACCTTGCCTAACACCTAAGACTCTGTTTACTTCCCCTGAGCCCTGCACACAGCCAGTGCTTTGTACATCCTCCCCTCCCTGTCCCACAAACCCCTCCATCCCTTACTCCTTTATCTGCCATCCCAGGACTTCAATTATATTTTAATAGTTTGCTTACTGATTTTGTAAATGTTAACCAGTTCACATTTTCTTTTTAAATTTTATTTATTTGAAAGAGTTACAGAGAGAGAGGGAGAGACAGAGAAAGATGGATGGATCTTCCATCCGCTGGTTCACTCCCCAAATGGCCCCCACGTCCAGGGATGGGTTGGTCTGAGCCAGGAGCCAGGAGCTTCTTCCAGGTTTCTCATGTAGGTGCAGGGGCCCAAGGGCCTGGGCCATCCTCCGCTGCCCTCCCAGGCGCATTAACAGGGAGCTGGATTGGAAGAGCAAGCAGGACTCCAACCAGGGCCCACATGGGACTCCAGTGTCGCGGTCGGTGGCTTTACCCTCTAAGCCACAGTGCCGGCCCCTCCACTTTCTTGCTAACAGCAATCCTATCCACGCTCCCTGGCCTTGTCTAAACTAACCTCCTCCATCTAATAGTTCACTGCGTGCGAGCCAGAGTGTTCTCTCAGCACCGGATGCTTTTATCTGTTGAACACTTGCCCTGCATTCTTTATAGTTGCCTTCCCACTGCTCTGTCCTACTGTTCCCTTCCTGTCCTGTGTCCCTCCCTCCAGCTCTGGGCACTGCGCTTTGCAAACGCAGCCTTGAAGCATCACCCCGGAGTTTCTGCAGACAGGACCCTCCGAAAACAGGAGTCTCTGCCGGCGGATCCTTCCGCTTGCAGAAGAGGCTTTCACGCCCAGGTCTCTGCCCGCCCGGGCCAGGATGAGCAGGTAGGGGCGAGCGGCGGAGGAGCTGGCCCCACCTCCCGGCCTCAAGACCCCAGCCCAAGAAGCTCCAGAGGAACCTCCAAGGAACGCTGACGCCCGCGCAGGCGCAGTGTCGCTCCCGCCCCCGAAACACCAAAGCCGCCGCCGCCAGCGCAGGGGCGGGGCAAAGCGTCCGTCTCTCCCGCTCATTGGCCTCCTGGCTGACGGACCGATGGGGCGGGCCCTTAACGATGCAGCTTAGAAACAGCCATCCGGTCAAAAAATAAACAAAAGGTTGTGAAGGAGAGGAGGGGGCGGCGCGTTTCGGGCTGACAGCTGAGGCTCAGCTTGTCTCGGGCTCACCCTCTGCGCCAGAACGGGGCCGGGCAAGTCCCGCTTTCAGGCGTGAGACCAGAGTGCCCCTCCTGCTTCTTCCAGCCCCAGCCTGAGGGCTCCGAGTTCCTGAGGGCAGTTTCCCAGGGTTTGAGAGTCCCCATTAGAGCGAGGAACACAGGGCGCTTCCCTCTCTCCGGCACTGGCCCCAAGCTCCTGCCAAGCTGTGCACTGAGTATCGTAAAAGACAAAGCTGCCCACGTCCTCTGCTGGAAACTGCCACTTCAGACCCAGCGGACGGGCACTCGTGCTGCCCGAGAGCGGGGCCCGCCCACACTCGATGCTTGTGCAGTGAGGTGTCCCTTGTGCCAGGCCGGCCCCTGCCCCTTCACCCGAAGAACATCGGACCTCGCCGCCCAGAGACTCCGCCGGCGCGCCTGTGCTGCCGCAGCCCTGCTTCACCCGGACTGCGTTCCCGCTGGCACGCTGGCCCCTGTATCGAAACACTACACACCTGCCAGGCTCAGAGGCTGTGCGCCACCTCCGGACACGGCTGTTTCTGGAGTGTGTATCCCCCAGAGCCTTGGACAGCACCCACAGAGAGGGTCTCAGTACGTGAATATCGATTGAATCAATGCACGAATGCCAGGGATCAAGAAGGAAGACCTACAGATTTCAGAGTGAGCTACGGCATTTTTGGATTCAAGGACACGAACCATCTTTTTTAATTTTTTATTTTATTTTAATTTTTTTTTTTACCGTGAAACTCTCAAGGTGGTGCCCCTTTGGAAATGCATGAATCAATTCAAGATGACGAATAATGAAGTCAAGCCGTTCAGCTGCGGTCCCATCACAGCCCGTGGAACATCTGCCCAGCCAGCGCGGGCAGGGCAGTGGGCCAGGGGCAGTCACTGAAGGAATCGGGAGGCTTAGGAGGGTGTGAGGGTGCGGGTGGTGTCACAGACGCCAAGTCCGAGAGGTGTTTACTGTGATGAGCCTTCGAGGGGGTGGGGCGGGCGGGGTTCCCTCCAGCTGATCCTCCGCGGCTCTGGGGTGACTCACTCTTCCTTGGGCTGAGGGGTGGTGCTGGCATGTGCACCCCGAGTCGGGCCCTGCTCCTCCTGGCCCTTGGTGTCCTCAGTGTCTCCAGCCACCAGAGCCACGTTCCTCAGATAATTGATGTTGAAGCAGTTGGTCTGCTCGTCCCCAGGCCTCCGGTCACAGCAGAGGGCAGGGTCTCTCCAGAAGCTTGGTCGGGTGCCACACAGCTCATCGACAAAGGCTGATTTCTGAGGAAGAGTAAAGCGGAGACCGTGGGGGTGAGGCGGGGTCAGAGGTTAGGTGTAGACACTTGGGTGCCCAAGACCCCTCCTGTCGGCATCTGCTTTCCTCCCGGTCCCCTTCCTGGGCCAAGAGAGTGCAAGACTGCTGCCTTGTGCAGCTGGATTCCTTGTGACAGATGTGCACATCTGGAACTGCCAGAGCTGGAGGCCCAGAGAAAGCAGAAAAGGGACTTGGGTTTGGGAGCAGGCCAGGTCAGGAACGAAGACTTCTGAACCAAGGAGAGAGACCTCCCCGGCCAGTCACTTCTGTGGGCTGGCTCAAGGTGCTAAAGAGAAGTGGTAGCCTGTGGCTCTGGCCCCCACCCTCCCGGCGCACGCACCTCCTCCTCAGCGCAGCAGGCCTGTTCGGGAAAGGGCAGCTTACAGCAGCGGGCGGTCATGTTCCGGATCAGCCCAGGAATCTGCTTACTGTGTTGGTGCGAAAGGGGCAGAGTCAGGACCACCCAGGGGCATCCAAAGAGTCACTCTGCCCAGGGAAGGGAGGTTTTGGGGAAGGGAAGAGAATTGGGGAAGAACTAGGCAAGACTCACTGCTTGGTGAGGACTCTTTGGTTTCCACAGAGGTGGCCCATCAGGTTGGGGGTGACCCGGCTGAGGTCTATTGTCAAGATGTCACGGTCATAGTTGGGGTAGGGAGCCCGACGCGCAAAGCACTCGTCCCGAGCGGGGCTGGGAGGGTATTTGCAACAGGCGTGATGGTGGGTCTTTATCGCCTGTTCCTGGTCGCAGTATCCATCAAGGGTGTCCTCCCACTGTGGGCCGGGGAGAGGAAAGTCAGAAGCCTGGACACCTGGCACCTTCTCTACCAAAATCTGCTTCCCTTATCACCCTGGCTGTGAGGGGAGGAGCCAAGGAGGGAGGGCAAAGGACCAGTGGGCCAGGGAGGCAGCTGCGGTGTGGGGGAGGGGAAGATGGAAGGGCAAGGACACAGGTGAGGTTCCGAGCCGGCCGTGGGAGATGAACTGGAACAGCAGGCGGAGAGGGTCAGGTGATGGATGGATGGTGAACGGGGTGCGTGCGTGGGGTCATGTGCAGACGAGGCCGGGACTGCGGGGTGAAGGCTCAAGACGAACAGACTCAGATGACGGACACATGGATGGATGGAGAGTCACAAGCAGGCCAGTGGGTGGACGTGCTCACAGCAGGGAGCACGGATGGACGGGCTGGCGGAATCAGAGCTTGGAGGCGGGCGGGCGGGCGGGCAGGCAGGCAGGCAGGCTCTCGGAGGGGCTGGGACGCCCACTTACGGCCTTCCATGTACAGGTGTGGTTGTTCCCCTGGCGGCAGCAGTGCTGGAACTCCACTTCCAGCCGGGTCAGAGCGCGCAGCTGCCTTTGGATGGGGTCGGTAGGCAGGAGGTTGCGTGGCACAGAGCGGAAGCGTTTCAGGCGGCAGATGTTCTTAACATTGTCCAGTGTGGGTGCCCCGGGGGGGAAAGGAAGCTCGGGGCCCAACGAGATGCCAGGCTGGTGCCTTGGGCAGGCCCAGAGTTGGTAGTGCGGCCGGGGAGCGGCCTCCTGGAAGCAGGAGAATCGAGCCTCCCCCTGTAGTCTGCAGCACCAGTGGGGTCGGGTCTTGACCGAGAACTCGGTCTCACAGAACCGGGTCATTGCGTCCTCCCACTAGAGTGAGAAGGAGGGGTTAACCCAGCCGCCCATGGTCCACATTCCGGCCTTTCTGCCAGGCTCCAGGAAGGGACCCTGGGCAGGTAAGAAAGCAGTGGTGTCCTCTGCTCTCCTGCTACGGGGAGGGGTCGGGGGGGGGGGGTGACTGCCAAGGCAGGGCCTGTGCAGGGGGCCTGAGGTTTCTCCATACCCAGGCCTCGGCCTCTAGCTCTGAGAACACACACATCCAGTCTGGGGGCTAAAGGACACCCCCTGCGTCAAGAGCCCAACCCTTACCACGAGTTGTGCACAGTCTAGACGTTGTGTATGGCTGCGGCAGCGGCAGCAGCGGGAATATCCAGTCTCCAGCAAATTGAGGGCCTCGCCCTGGCGGCTAAGGTGGGAGAAGCCAGACTGCGGCAGGTTCCAGGGGCCGTACACCACGTGTGGACGGTCAGGAAGGCAGATCTGGTTCAGATTGTGTGGAGAAGGCCGCCCAGGGGGAAAGCCGTCCAGTCGGAAGCCCCAGCCCCCTCGGGCTCGGCCTGGTTGGCAGTGCTGGGATGGATTCCAGGATTGAGGCTCAGGAGGGCCCTGGCCCCCGGAGGGAGCTGGCTCTTCTACAATGAGGGACAGAGTGGGGAGGGTTGAAGGAACGTGGGGAAACAAGCTTTGGGAGGACCCAGGGGGAATGGGAAGAACCTGATCTGTGGCTCTTACCTTCGGAATAACTGATTGAGAGGAAAAGAAAATGCAGGCTTGACAGGTGCCACCCTCACACCCCCAACCCCCATCACTGCTCCCTGCACTGCTTCCCAAGTCCCAGGCTCCTTGCTCCTCTCCCCGGAGTCCTGAGTGCTCAAGCAGAGGGATCGCAGACCAAGGCTGCCACTCACCTTCTGTCTGCTGGAACCGGAAGGGCTTCTGCTCTTGATGGGGGAGAGGTGCGTCTACTGGAGTAGAGGGACACAGGTGAGCATCAAGCCGGGATGGGCACCCTGCTAGCTCCCATTCACAAGCAGGAACTCCACAGAGAAGCGAGTGGCAAGAAATGCTACTTGGAGGCCGTTTGATCAGAGGACTATAGAGCAGGTATTGTTTCCTGAGTTGCACAAGGTGAGGAAGCGAAGGCTTGGCGAGGTAAGTAACCCATGTGCGGTCACACAGGGAGTCAGCGGCAGAGCCCGCACGGCCCGGCCCGTGGGAGAGGACAGCGCGCTGCTTACCTTCCTTCTGCTCAAGGAACGGCTGGGGAGGAGGCCGCTCTTCTTGGAAGGGGACAGCTTCGTGAGGGGGCGGGGGGTCCTCTGCCGGACACGGGTGAGGGCACAGGGAGCAGGGGTCAGTGTCCGCCAGCCGCGGGGGAGGCCGGCGCGGGGGAGGGGGCACTCACTCACTTTGCTTTTCAGCAGGGAGCTGGGCAGAGGGCAGCACTTCCTCTTGTTCGGGGATGGCTGCCCGCGGGGGAGGGGGCTGCGCTGTAGAGGGCCGGGTGTGAGCGTCCTGGTGCGCGATGGGTGGGCGAGCCTTCCGCCCTCCTCCCGATCTGGAGAGTGGGGCGGGGTAGGGGGTGACCTTACCTTCTCTCTGGCCCTCGAAGGGAGGGTCGTGTGGAGAGGTATCAGGGTGATCCAGGAGGAGGCTTTGAGGCAGGGGCGGTGCGGGGGCTGCTGCATAGCCAACTAGAGTAAGAGGGAGGCGGTCAGAGCCTACAGCTCTCCCCAGCCTCCCAAGCCCATGCTGGCCCCCCAACTCTCACCCTCTTGAAGGTGCTGCATGAGGTACTCTGGCCTGAGCTCCTTCTGCTCTGAGTTCCTGGGGCCTGGACAGAGAAAGGATAAGAATCAGGGGCGGTTTCTGTTTTTCTCTCTCTCTCTTTTTTTTTTTTTTTTTTAAAGATTTACTTGCTTATATGAAAGACAGAGAGAGAGAGAGACAGACAGACAGACAGAGGTCTTCCATCTGATGGTTTTTCCAAAATGACCACAACAGCCAAGTCTGGGCTGGGACAAAGTCAGGAGCCAGGAACTCCATCCTGGTCTCCTACATGGGTGCAGAGGCCCAAGCACTTGGGCCATCCTCTGCTGCTTTCCCAGGCCATAGCAGAGAGCTGGACTGGAAGTGGAGCAGCCAGGACTCGAACTGGCACTCTTGATTTTCACTTTATTTTCTTTCTTTCCTCTTTTTTTTTTTTTTTTAAACTGACCCTCCTTTTTTTCTTTCTTTTTTAAAAGATTTCCTTATTTCTTCAAAAGGCAGACTTAGAGACAGAGAAACAGAGATCTTCCATCTGCTGGTTCACTCCCCAAATAGCTGCATGTCCGAGGCTGGGTCAAACTGAAGACAAGAGCCCAGAACCCATCCAGGTCTTGTGTGTGAGATGCTGGGGTCAAAGGCAGTGGCTTAACATGTTGCAACACAACGCTGGCCCCTCAGGGGCAGTTTGGAGGGACCCTTTCTTGGGCCTGAACAGGGATAGGGAGTTAGTGGGGGTCAGGAGTATAAGAAAGACCAAGACAAAACCCCCTCTGTATTGCACCTGCCATGTGCACCTAACCCTGCCCCTGCTGCTGCACACGGAGACATGAAGGCCTGGGTTCTGAGAAAGCCTGTGCTATTCTGATAGCTGCACCTGCACCTGGCCTAGAGGGAATGTGACATCAGGGCTGGGGCCGGAGGCCCTCATTTCCTGCGTCTTACCCACAGCCTCCCTGTGCCATGCCTCTGTAGTTTTCAGAGCTACCCTGAGCTGGCTGGAGGCTCACCTGCACCCCTCCTCCACCCCACCTCTTACTCTAAGTCCTTTAGACAGTGGGGTAGGTGTTTGGCACAGTGGTTAAGATGCCACATGGGACACTTGCATTCTGTACCAGAGTGCTTGGGTCAGAGTCCCAGCCTCATTACTGATTCCAGCTTTCTGCTACCATGTACCCTGACAGGCAGTAGGTGACGGATCAAGTCTCTGCCACCCTTGTGGCCGTCCTAGATTGAGTTCCTGGCTCCTGCTTTTGGCCTGGCCTAGCCCTAGCAGTTGTGGGCATTTGGGGAGTGAACCAGCAGATGGAAGATTTCTCTGTATCCTTAAAATAAATTCAAAACAAAACACAATGGCCTGAGGCCAGCGCTGTGGCTCATTTGGTTAATCCTCTGCCTGCAGCGCCAGCATCCCATAAGGGCGCCAGGTTCTAGTCCCGGTTGCTCCTCTTCCAGTCCAGCTCTTGGCTGTGGGCCAGGAGGGCAGTGGAGGATGGCCCAAGTGCTTGGGCCCCTGCACCCACATTGGAGACCAGGAAGAAGCACCTGGCTCCTGGCTTCAGATCGGCGCAGCGCTGGCCATAGCGGCCATTTGGGGAGTGAACCAACAGAAAGACCTTTCTCTCTGTCTATAACTCTGTCAACTTAAAACAAACAAACAAACACAATGGCCTTGCTAAGGAGCCCATTCAGAAGTTTTAAATGTCTCCAGTTTAGCCCCTCCTTAGTTTAGAGTTCAACTTAGGGCCTCAGGAAGGGACCAGCGCAGGGAAAGGAATGACTTGCTGCTGATCTGTAGGCACAAAAGACTAGGAGCTGGAGGCACAATGAGTTAGGCTTTTACAGATACAGATTAGATCTGCTGACATTCTCCTAACAGCTTCCAGCAGGAGTTCCCAATTTTGGTCAGGGTTCAAAGCATGTAAGGAGCACCCCTGTGCTGACGCTGACCTGGGCTGATTTGTGGAAAGACACCCCCTCCTTCTCACCAGTGAGTGAGTCAAGGCTTTCTCGTCAGCAAACCGGTTTGGAGTAGCCTGGGGACTCCCTTCCCCTGCCTTAGTGCCCAACAGTCCCCCACATTTAGCCTCCCTAAGTGTCTGAATTCACTCCCTCTGTGAGCTGTTCAGCCTGCTAAGAAGTTCCAGTGCCCCAGGGCCACTCTAGGCTTGCTCAGAAAAGAGGCCAAACGGAGAATCCGCTGTGATGAGCTGTCTGGACCCAGGCCCCTGCCCACACCAGCCTGGACCAATTCCCAAGTGCTGATCCACCCACACTCACCTCCCTCAGAGGTGGCAGAAGCAACAGCCAAACAGGCCAAGACCAAGGCTGCTCTGGACATGGTCCCCATCCTGGGGCAAGGACTGGTCACTGAGCCAGCACTAAGGTGCTCTCAGGCAGATCTGGATTCGAGGTGCAGGGCTGCTGCTGGAAGCTGCTTCTCTGGCTGCTGCTGTGAACTCGAGGGCCGTCTCCTGGTCCTTTTTATAGGCTGGCTGCTATCTCCCGCCCTCCTCAGCTTCCTGCCATGACTCAGTCCCAGTGGCTCCTCCTCTGGCTGCTGCTCCTCCCAAACTCATCCTGAAGCCTTCTCAGAGGATGGAGAGTGGGCTGAGGGGAAGGCAGCACTGTGATGGCCACAAGAGAAGCTGATGAGAGACTCCCGGGGAGCCCTCGTCCTGTGCCTCGGTTTCTTCACCCCACACTGGGATCAGACAGCCTTTGCCAGAGGGAACAGGAAAGCTCTCGGAGGGAGCTCCCAGCCTGGCCCTTCTATGCCCCTCAGGAGTCAGATGAAGACAGCCAGTGGTTTCCAGTTTATTTATTTATTTTTTAGTTTTTCTCCTCATACCCAAATAACCACAGCTTTCTTCCCCACGTCACTGTGAGGTCCCCAAAGCACGTCTCTGTTCTTGAGAGCACACACCCAGTTCTGAGGCTCCCAGGGGACTCCTGGCCTGTTCAGGGAGGCTGATGGCTCCCACGGGTCTCTGTCTCATCTCTGCACAAAGGCTCAGAAAATGTCTTCAGCATTCGGGACCCTAGTGTTCTGCAGCTCCAGCAGCCGCCTCGTGGCCTCAGCGAGACCTCGCTCACCGAGTCGCTGATTATCTCGTGTCCGAACGTTCACTGTCCTGTTACTTTGCTCTTTCCGGCCAACCACTGCAGGAAGAGGAAGGGAGGTTGCAAACTTCAGGGTAAATTCATCCACACGGTCACTTCCTTTTGCTATGCAAAAACTTAAAAGACCCAAATCTTTAGGAAGGGTGGGCGCACAGCCCTGACAGGTTCCAAGAGCGGCTATATTTAGCCGTGCCTGCTCTTGTCTACTGCTCATCCTGAGAAGATAAGGAAATGCTTGTCTTTACTCCTTATCATTTCTGGGCTGGAGTCCATGGGCCAAAAAGACTAGATTCAGTAGGAGAAAGACAAACAGATCGAGAAGCAGATTTGGAGAGAAACTGTACGCGTGAACGGGTAGGGGAAGCATTAGAGGGAGGGCCCATGGCAGAGTGGAACACCCAGAAGCAAATGCCAAACAGCTCGCTCTAGGTGCTGGCAGGTGGTGTGTGTGTGTGTGTGTGTGTGTGTGTAAAACTAGAGAATCAGGTAATCTGCCTGGGGAGTTTCTGTTCCTTGCCTTTAAGACAAAACTCTGGACCCTGAGAACAGCAGGAGCGAGGCCGTGCTAGAATGTTCTCCTGAAGGTCTCTCTCCTCATCCCTCAGGGAGGTCTCCATCCAGGTCTGGAGAAACAAGGCTAATTAATTACTGCCTTGTTAGCCCGTGCTCTCCCTTTCCCTCGTATGTACCCGTGGTTAACTACCTGAACAGACACCAAGGGCCAGGGTGGAGTTAGTAACAGGACAACTGTGCTCAGGGTCAGAGGTGGTGGCAGTGGTGGTGTGAGGGAACCCACGGCCCAAATGAGTCAGCTTCCTATACAGCTAGTGAGCCCTGGATAATCCAAATATGCAGCTAACCAAACTCAACAGCCTCAAAAGAAGGACTGCAGAGGGCAGGTGGCAGAACCCGGGGCTCTGAAGCCCTGGCCGGCCCTCTCACCAAACTGGAAATTGTAGTGGGCAAGCTGGGCCCGACGGACTCTCCGACTGAGGGTCAGGCCAGGGTCGGCGTCCAGGTCGCTGGCCAGTCCTGCAGCCTGCAGGGTCTGTTGTACCTGGGACAGAAGTTTGATGCCAGGAGGTTAATTTAAGGGAAAGTTCAAGAGCCAGAACAGCCAGGTACTGCTCATCTCCACCTCCATCTGTCCCTCATCCACAGTTCTTCCTGATAACCTCTATTCTCTACCTCACCTCTATGCCGAGGCCTCCGCTTCACTCCCCAACTTTTTGCCTGCTTCCTATGTGAGATAAGCCCCCAGTCATTCCCTGGCTTTTGCCTGCTTCTAGCTACTCTTCTACCTGACTGGCTGCTCAACTCTGGTACTGTCCATATTCTCTCTTTTTTTTTAAAGATTTATTTTATTTATTTGAAAGACAGTTACAGAGAGAGGTAGAGACAGAGAGAGAGGTCTTCCATCTGCTGGTTCACCCTCCAGATGGCTGCAATGGCCAAAGCTGCGCCAATCCGAAGCCAGGAGCCAGGAGCTTCTTCTGGGTCTCCCATGTGGGTGCAGGGGCCCAAGGACTTGGGCCATCTTCCACTGCTTTCCCAGGCCACAGCAGAGAGCTGGATCAGAAGAGGAGCAGCTGGGACTAGAACTGGCACCCATGTGGGATGCCGGCGCTTCAGGTCAGGGCTTTAACACGCTGCGCCACAGTGCTGGCCCCTGTCCATATTCTCAATTCTCTTTAGAAAGGAAAAATGGGCTGGTGCTGCCACTTGGGACATCAGCATCCCATATCAGAGCACTGGTTAGAGTCCTAGCTGATCTGTTTCTAACCCAGCTTCCTGCTAACTTGTCTGGGAGGGCAGCAAATGATGGTCCAAGTACTGGGCCCCTGACACTCAGCTGGTTAGGCCAGGACAGAGTTCCGGACTCTTGGCTTTGGCCTAGCCTTGGCTGTTGCAACCATCTGAGGAATGAACCAGTGGATGGAAGATCTCTCTCTTTCTGTATGACCCTCTGTCATTTTGCTTTTCAAATAAATAAATCAATTTTTTAAAAAGGGATGGAAAAACAAGCCAACATTTACCCAGGCTCACTTGTGTGCCAAAAGCTCTCACGGCAGCAGCAACATTAGATTGTGTTTAACGTTCACACATTCTACAAGGCAGAGCTCAGTCTCATTTTTGTAGATGCAGCATTTCCAGCATACTACACAGCTGCAACTGAAGCCCAGCTCTGCGGCTCCAAGGGCTATGCCCTTCCACGGCCCCGTCCTGCCTCTTCCTGCCTTGTGTCAGGCACCAGACTTCCTGCTTTGCCCCTCCCTCGCCCCCCTCAGCTCCTCACCTCCCTAGCGTATTCTTCCTGCTCGGTCCCCACCGGGATGACCGCCACTTGAAACGGGGACAGCCACAGTGGCCTGGTTGAGAAAAAACAGAGGTGGGAAAATTATTCATTTCTGCTCTAGTCAGAATTGTGGCTGCAGGGAGCAGATCTGAGAAGGAAACTGAGGCTGGGCTAAGAAGGGAGACAGGATCTGGACATGAACTCTGCTGTGAGGCCGTGACAGATACCAGGGTCAGAGTTCTCACCATTTTCCTCCACAGCTTTCTGCAAGAACTCCCAGCAGTCTTTCCACAGAACCGAGCACTGCTCGGTGAATGAGGACTGGACGCTCCAGGTTGCCTGCCTGCCTTGGGGGGAAAAGGGGGACAGACACAATGGCAGATGCGTCACAAACTGTGCACTCAAGATCACCTTCCAGTTTTCAAAAAATGTTCAGCTTTGGCAGCAGAGGGTGTGAAGGATTTGGTTTAGTTTTTAGGGTCCAAGGCAGAGGGGGAGCTGTTCACCTATTCCATGGGCTGTCAAGGGAAAGGGGGATGGGCAAGGTTCTATACCCCTTATATTGGAGGTCAAATCTCAGGGGCAGCTGGAAGTCAAGCTGGATTGTCCCACACTGATGGGGTCGACCCAGGGCGTCTCGAAGGTGCACATCAATCTGAGGAGACAGATGGGGCAGGAGAGAAACCAGGACCATGATCATGCCACCTCACTCGTCCACCTACCTAGGCACGTCCCAGGCTATTTGGAGAATCACGTGACCCAGCTCCTTCACACCCTCTCATCTGAGTAGCTCTCCTAACCCAACAGTGGTGTTTTAATAGTAGGGGTCCACATCCTAACCTCTCAATTCCATGAGTGCCTCATTTTAGAGACCCTCACCACCACCCACACTACAGCCACCCGCTTCGCCCCGTAGTCTTCCCCCAGTGCCTGCAACTCGGAGACATCCATCAAACGCTCGGCCCTGATTACTGTCCCACAGCCTGGCTCTGCAGCACAGAAGTTCCTTAGCTCCGCTTTATGCTCCCCATCCACAGCCCCCCCACCCCTTGCTTCTCTACCCAGCAGAAGCTGGGAGCACTCTCTGGTTCCCTTGTAACATTCATTGTTCTTCTGTCACATTCACATGGCCAAACCTGACCCCAGAACCTGACACCTTAGCTTTCTAGCTCCTTGGTCCTGCCAAGAATTAGTGTTGCCCAACTTGTCACAGACCACACAGATGAGAAGGCAGAGAGGAATGCCACCAAGGAAGTCGCTCGCTGTCTTGAGACTCAACAGGTTCCTGGCTGCTGCCAGCAATCCTCTGGCTGCCCTCATCAGCTCTCTGCCCTGTTCTCCTCAGGGATTTTCATGCTTTCTCTTTTGTCTCTTAGCAAACAATTAATTAGGTCAATTTCACAGAATACACAATGTATCACTGACTGCTTCCTCTATAACCTTGAGTACACTGTTCAACCTTTCTGATTTTTTTTCTTCTCAGTAACTGAAAAATATTTTCCTTGCCTTGTATTAGTGATAAAAATGAATAAAATTCATTTTCATTATTCATCAATATTTCCATTTACCAACTACTTATTGAGCAGCTAAATAACCTTGTGCTCAAATAGACATTTGGGAGCTAAAAACGAGTAGTACACGTGGTACCTGAGTAAGTGATCCCAGCACGCTGTGTAGCAGCTACTGAGCACCCAAATGGTTTTGGCTACATGGCTCATGTGATAGTTTTTGAATAATCTTTCTCTTCAACCTCCTCAGTGACAACTCTCCTCTCCTCCACTCTTGTCTCAGCAAATGATTCTGCCTCCTACCTCACTGGAGAATTCAGACAACTGATATTATGGGATGGGAAAAATGCTTAACTTTCTGTCACCACTCCTATAAACCTCTGTACATCTACCTACCCCCAGCCCTCCCTCCTGCCCTGGTGCAATGGCAAAGGTGGTTCCTTCCATGGATAGCTCTGGATCCAGCCCAAGCTCCCCAAGAACTCCCCACTTCCTTCTCCTGTAAGCTCTTCTCTTCCAGCTTCTGCTCTCCTGAGAGCTCCTCTCATCAGAGCATCTGCACATTCCCAGCTTTCTCCCATCAAGAAATCTCTTTTGACCACCTACACCTTACTCTCCTTTGTCTTTATAAAGAGCGTCAAAATTCTGGGGCTGGTGTTGGGGCAGAGGGTTAAGCTGCTGCCTGTGATGCTGGCAGCCCATACTGGAGGTGGGTTTGAGTCCCAGCTGCTATGTTTCCAATCCAGCTACCTGGGAGACCTGTGGAAGATGGCTCAAGTGCCTGGGCCCTTGCCACCTTTGTGGGAGACCAGGATGGAGTTCCAGGTTCCTGGCTTTGGCCTGGACCAGATCTAGAAACTGTAACCATCTGCAGAGTGAACCAGCAAATGGAAGGTTTCTTTTTTTTTTGTCTCTCCCTCCACCTTTCAAATAAATAATAAATCTTAAAAAAAAAAAAAAAAGGCCGAAAGTTATGGATACATATTTACTTCTGTCTGAATCCATCCCCAGGGCCTCACTTTACCAAAAATGGTTCTTCAACACCTAACAGCCTGGGGTAGGTGTGACAGGTCACACTGCCACTCGGATGCCTGGCTGGAGTCCCAGCTCCACTGCTTCCAACCCAGCTTGCTGCTAACGCATCTGCGAGGCAGCAGATGCAACTATGTCGGTTCCTGCCACCCATGCGGGAGACCTGGATGGAGTTCACGGCTTCTGTTTTTGGCCTTTCTCAGTCCTGGCTACTGTGGGAAATTGGGGGGTGAACCAGCAGATGACACATCTCTCTGGCTATCTCTCTCGGTCATACTTTCAAATAAATAAAGCCTTCAAGACTGAACAGCCTTTTTATTGAACCCATTAGATACTTTTCAGTCATTTTCATTGTGACTTTTCATTTATTGCAACCTGCTACATGTTTTCAACCCTACCCTCTGCCTACCCTTATCTCTCCTAATACACTCAACTTTTTTATTTTTATTTATTTTTATTTTTTTGACAGGCAGAGTGGACAGTGAGAGAGACAGAGACAGAGAGAAAGGTCTTCCTTTTTCCATTGGTTCACCCCTCAATGGCCGCTACGGCCAGCGCAACATGCTGATCTGAAGCCAGGAGCCAGGTGCTTCCTCCTGGTCTCCCATGTGGGTGCAGGGCCCGAGGTCCTGGGCCATCCTCCATAGCACTCCCGGGCCACAGCAGAGAGCTGGACAGGAAGGAGCAACCGGGACAGAATCCGGCGCCCCAACCAGGACTAGAACCCAGTGTGCCGGCACCGCAGGTGGAGGATTAGCCTATTGAGCCACGGTGCCGGCCTTCAACTTTTTTTTTTAATATAAGATTTATTTTATTGTTTGGAAGGCAGAGCTACAGAGAGGCAGAGGCAGAGGCAGAGGCAGAGGCAGAAGCAGAGAGAGAGAGAGAGAGAGAGAGAGAGGTCTTCCATCCGCTGGTTCACTCCCTAAATGGCTGCAATAGCCAGAGCCACATTGATCCAAAGCCAGGAGCCTGAAGCTTCTTCCAGGTCTCCTACACAGGTGCAGGGATCCAAGGGCTTGGACTGCTTTCTCAGACACATCAGCACAGAGCTGGTTAGAAAGTGGCACAGCTGGGACTCAAAGTGGCACCCATATGGGATGCTGGCACTGCAGGCAGTGGCTTTACTCGCTTCACCACAGCACTGGCCCCAACATTTCTTAACTTTGACCAACAATTATTAAGATGCAGGCAGCCCTTCCTGACCTCCCAAGTAACGTGAAGCCCTTGAACTTGCTGTTACTACCTATAACACAATTTGGATCCAAGGCCTGACATGGCTGATCTGTCTTCCATTGCCTTCATGAGAATGCAAGTCTCACAAGGATTGGAAATTACTGCTCTTCTTTATGCCCTACACAGTTTAAAAATATTTCTTTGCATGTAGTAGACATTTAGTAAAATGAAATAGAAAATGAGTAAATAAAACCAAAACCAGGGCTCACCTTAGGCCCATAGAAGGCGCCATCTCCAGGGCTGAGGTCCCAGGGTTCTCCGAATGCCTCCAGGGACTGTTGGAGGAGCTTTAGAAGGAATGAGGCAGGAGAGCAGATGCAGATCACCTTAGACGCTGTGAGTGACACAGCCCTCCAGGCCCCTGCAAATGACCCCCTCAGCATACACCTCTGTCTGAGGACCACCACCTTCCACTGGAGAGTGGTTTATCTGCCGGTGTTTCCCCGGTTCCTACTCACCTGCTCAGCCTGGTCCCAAAGGCAAGGCTCCCCCAGGAAGCCAGATGGTCGAGTGGACAGTGCCAGGTGGAAGGAGAAGCCCAGGACAGCATAGACAGAACGGAGAAAATCAAGACAGCCGTAGATCTCTGCCTCCAGCTAGGGGTAAGAAAGAAGTGTGGGTGAGCCATGTTGTAGTCTAGAGGGGCAAGAGAGGGCAAAAATAGAGAGGTGTCAGGATGCAGCTGGAGTGCAGTACAGATAGACAGCAAGCCAGTGGAGGTTGGGGATGTCGGGGATACACAGGCAGGTTGCAGGGCGCCTTAGAGACTTGCAGAAGCTACGGTGGGAATGGGGCAGAGCCACCTGATCTGGTGCACAGAAGATGTGAGCATCGTCCTGCTGGAAGCACCGCAGCCGCGTCAGTCCCCCCAGGCTGCCAGAGGCCTCAGCCCGGTGCAGGGCCCCGAAGTCTGCCAGTCGCAGGGGCAGCTCCCTCCAGGATCTGGGCCGGTGGGCGAACATCAGGCTGAGGTGGGGGTGAGGGAGGAATCACGGCTTCGGGGGAACCGGTCACTGAAGCTTGCCCACCCCTTAACCCCTGACAATCTGCTTGCCTTCTTTCTCTACGGCATCAGCTAATACCCTTCCCACCATGGCAGGTCCCCCACCAAGCACTGTCAATCCCATCTACTGTACCCATCCACTGCTGTCTAAGCCTCGCCTGGCTCAAAAGTGAATTTCTTAGTAACACAGAAGCTAACCTGATTTATGGCACCCCTGTTCTGTGATGGTACTGAGCTGAAAGAGGAATGTTAGGGAGTAACCCCAAATCCCTGATGTTATGTGTTAAGGAGACTGAGACCTAAAGAGGTACCACAGCTTCCCCAAACTCACATGGTTAGATACAGTGAGGGCAGATTCAAGATTCAAACCAAGCAGTGCAATACCCTTTCCATGACTTAATATCTAGCAACCCGACTGTAACCCCTAAACCTAGGAGCAGCCAGGACTCCTGGCTCCCAGCTCACCAGTGCGCAGGGCAATTCATGGGCTTGAGGGCGAGTGTGTCGGGGGGTTGGCTGGTAGGGTGGTCACTCTGGGAGCAGGCGGAGCTGTCAGAATCCGAGGGTTGCAAGGCAAACATATCTTCCTTATAATGCTCCCAGTGCCCTGACTTTTCCCAGAGTTTTGTAGAAAACAGTGTGGGGGTTTTCACTTCCGAGAAACCGCGGTGGGCATACTCAGCCTGGAGAGAAGGGTCAGATGTGGAAGTCAGGATGGCTGGAAGGAGAGCAGGCAGGGGGGGCAGCTGTGTGATTCTCCCAGGGCCTCAGGCCAGTCAGCCATAGCGGACTAAATACCACTGCAGACCACTGAGCTGTAGCACTTGGCCAAAGGTCACACTCAGTATTTTATGGCCGCACTTCCAATCCCCATCTTTTAACTCAAACGCCTTGGCTTCTCTTAGACTCTCAGTCCTCTCTGGTCTTCTTTCCCCTCGGACTTGGGCCCCTCTTACCCTGATAAAAGCCACCAGTGCATTATACACCCTTGTCCCTCGTGGCAGGAAGAAGCAGCTCCCGGGGCTGAGTTCATGGAAGAAGAAGAGCTCCTGTTCCTGGGGTCAGGGATGGTGGTGATCACTTCAAGGGGCAGAAGGCAGAGCTGCTCAGTCTGTTCAGCTCCGTCTGCTTCCAACTTCACGACACTCGCAACCCTCCTCACCATCCCTCCTCTCTCCCCATCTCCCTACCTTCCCAATGCGCCGGTGGTCCCGCAACTCTGCTTGCTCCCTCCACGCCTCCCAGGCCCTCAGCAACGCTGTGGTGGGGAAGGAAATCCCTGACACCCTCTGCAGTGTTTCTGGGAGCCCCGAAGACCTCCATAAGGAGGACGAGTTCTGTGGGAGGACAGAGGGAATCCAAGGGAACATGAGGAGCACCAGAGGCACCCGACTTCTCTTTCAGGCCACACATGATGCTTTCCGTGTAATCAGCATGGACAGGCCACCTCATCTCTCTCACTGGTTTCCCAGTGTCACCACTAGCAGGATGAATAAGACCCGTCCTGGCCACATTTACAACCCTGGCGTTGTCTGACTCTTGATGCCTACATAAGCCACACCTCAGCTTGTTACCTCCTTCTGTTCCCATACTCACTACCACGGCCCTACCAGTACCCCATACTTAGTTCCCTCCCCCCAATCAGTGACTGCATCGGGGACTAAGCTCTGGTCAAATGTCAGTCTGTCCATCCCCATATCACTATCCCAGACAGCAGCTGAAATAATCAAAATCTTCTACATCATATCCTATTCTTGGCCACATGAAATCCAAATGCCTCAGCTTGCTCCTTCCGTTAATAACAGGACTAATAAGAAACAGCCTGCATTTTACAGCACTCTCCTTTAAACACTTTCTCCCATGTTATTTGGTTTTCATTGCCACTTTGATGTGGATTTACCGGTAAGACAGGAAAAAGCCTTGTTTTATAGATGCCTGCCTCCGCCCTCCTGCTCCATCTCTCTTAACACTGACGTCAGTCTAGGGAACTCCAACTGGCTGGCAGAGTGTTCAGTACTTGCCATCAAACTGGGGGTTTGTAGAATTGGGAACTAAGTATCTTTCTCCTTCTGGATTCCCTCCTTAGCTATCGGAGTGGAGGGGGGGCTGAGAGGACGTCCTTCTCATGCCCCTGCTCACTGCAGTGAAAACAGGAGGCCCAACCTAACTGTGGCCTCATCACTGACCGTCAGCAGCTTTATTTCTCCAATCTGCCCCGTATGCCGAAGGTGGGGGCCCCGGCAGAGATCAACCAAAGTGCCACACCTGGGAAAAGGAAGAGGCTGGTTAGTTGGATCCAGATTCTTGAGTCTCTAGTTTTCTCCCTCTCATGGCCTTTACTTGACTCACTGTTCTACAGAGTAAGCAAAGACAGAAAGAAATCAATTCTGTGCCCATTTCTCCTTCTGGAGCAAGACTACCTCTTCTCTCCCTTCCCTTGTGTCTGTTCTGACTGCTTCGGTGCCCCCACCCCCTGCCTCCCCACTTCCCTTAATCTTTTCAAAATTTATTTCTATTTATTTGAAAGGCACAGTGACAAAGAGAGGGAGAGCCAGAGCAAAAGAGATTTTCCATCCCCAAATGGCTCCAATGGCCTGGCTGAAGCCAGGAGCCTGGAACTCCATCCAGGTTTCCTACATGGATGGCAGGGGTCCATATACTTGGGCCATCTTCTGCTGCTTTCCCAGGCACATTAGCTGGGAGCTAGATCGGAAGTGGAGCAGCCGGGACTCGAACCATCAAACCTGCTGTGCCACAACGCCAACTCTCATTTCCCTTAATCTTGACAACTCTCACCCGTACACTGTTGCTTGCGGACCTGTTACTTTCTCCTCAATCACATGAAGCTTGAAGGGGTTGTCCTGGAAGGTGGCAGAAAGCAGAATGAAGACAAATGTCTATTCCCACAAAGATATCTTGGGAGAAAGCCACCGTTTCCCTCCAGCCTCTGGATCTTCCCCCCAGAATCATGCATCTCCACCTCACCTTGAAGAGCTGGCGAAGCTGATCCCGGGAAGCTTCCAGCCTCCGAAAAGGCTGAGCACTGGCGGCAAATTCCTGGCAAATTCGCTCCAAAACAGGCAGCTCAGAGCCCTGGACTGTCCTGCCAAGAGCAGAGTTGGCTGGTTCGCAGCCTCTTAAGAAACATCACCTGGTGACACCTCCAGGAAAAGTCCTGAAGTACTGGCAATGTCAGACAAACCCAGAGAAAACGTGAGAAAGAATTCAGGTACAGATTTTACAACTGGAGGAGAAGCTCTACAGAGGAAGACCAAAGTTGAGTGCAGGAAGTCTGGGTAGATAAAATTAGAACAATAGCAACGGTGGGAAGTAAAGTGTGCAGGACTGATGGAGGCTGGAGAAGGTAACTTTCAAGTCCAGCTAAGACAGAAGAGGAGGGACTCGCACACGGCACCATGGAGAAGGTGGCACCAATGTCATGACTGAGGCTTGGGAGGGGCCTCCCCCAGCTTTATCCTCCAAACTGTAGAAACCACACAGGATCACTCTCCTCCTTCCTTACACTACTCACCGCTCCTTGCCCAGGAAGAAATCATGGTAAAAGCCACATTCGGTACTTGGGCCTCGGCAAAGAACAGCACCCAGGAACTGTTCCGCAGCTGCCCCCAGGACATGGGTGCTGGAGTGCCAGAACACCTGGATTCACAAAAAGGAATTCATGAGTTTCCTACTTAGTGCCTACATCTCTGACCCTTTCTTCGGAGAGGCTGATGGGAACATCAGAACGGTCCTTCCAGGATGCACCACCACCACAAAATGGAGAACTTACACCTTGAGAGTGACCACTCAACAGCAAAAATGGTTAAAAGGAAAACCAAAGACCGAGTAGAAAAGAACGCAGGAGGTTGGAGTCCTTTCTTCTTTCAGCGCACAAAAGCACCAGCCCCACCCTTCGATGTGTGTTGCTTCCTATTACCCAAAAACAGAACTGGAAAACAGAAGTAGGAGGCCATGAGTCATCTTTGGTTGCTCCTATAATCTTCCAGGGTTTCAGTAAATTGTCTTTTTTTTTTCCTAAGGAATATTGTTCACTTCTTTTTTTTTTTTTTTTTTTCCCACAGGCAGAGTTAGACAATGAGTGAGAGAGACAGACAGAAGAGAAAGTCTTCCTTCCATTGGTTCACCCCCCAAATGGCTGGTATGGCCGGCGTGCTGCGCCGATCCGAAGCCGGGAGCCAGGTGCTTCCTCCCGGTCTCCCATCTGGGTACAGGGCCCAAGGACTTGGGCCATCCTCCACTGCCCTCCCGGGCCACAGCAGAGAGCTGGACTGGAAGAAGGGCAACCGGGACAGAATCCGGCGCCCTAACCGGGACTAGAACCCAGGGTGCCAGGTGGAGGATTAGCCTAGTGAGCCACGGCACCTGCCAAAGTCTTTTTTTTTTTTTTTTTTTTAAGATTTATGTACTTATTTGAAAGAGTTACACAGAAAGGAGAGGCAGAGAGAGAGAGAGAAAGAGAGTGGTCTTTCATCTGCTGGTTCACTCCCTAATTGGCCACAACGGCCAGAGCTGCATTGATCAGGAGCCAGGAGCTTCCTCTGGGTCTCCCACGCGGGCTCAGGGGCCCAAATGTTTGGGCCATCTTCTCCTGCTTTCCCAGGCCATAGGAGGGAGCTGGATTGAAAGTGAAGCAGCCAGGTCTTGAACCGACGCCCATATAGGATGCTGGCACTTTAGGCCAGGGCTTTAACCTGTTGTGCCACAGCGCTGGCCCCATTAAACTATCTTAAAAAAAAAAAAAATTATTTGAAAGGGAGAGTAAGAGAGAGACTGAGCTCCTCCATCTGCTGATTCACACCCCAAATGGCTACAACCACCATGGCTGGGTTGGGTGAAAACCAGGAGCCTTGAGGCTGGCGCTGTGGTGCAGCGGGTAAAGCCACTGTCTGCAGTGCTGGCAACCCACATGGGCACCGGTTTGAGTCCCAGCCGCTCCACTTCTGATCCAGCTCTCTGCTTGGCCTGGGAAAGCAGAAGATGGCCCTAGCCCTTGGGCCCCTGCAACCTGTGTGGGAGACCCAAAATAAGCTCCTGGCTTCAGACTGGCAGAGCTCTGGCCATTATGGCCATATGGGGAGTGAATCAGCAGATGGAAGACCTCTCTCTCTCTCTGCCTTTCAAATAAATGAATGAAATAAAAAAACTAAAAAAAAAAAAAAAAAAAAAAGAGCAGGACCTGGAACTCCATCCAGGTCTTCCATGTAGGCGTCAGGGGGCCATCTTCCACTGTGTTCCAGGTGCATTAGCAGGGAGCAGTTATAAGTGGTGTTATAAGTGGTGGCTTGCCGGCGCCGTGGCTCAATAGGCTAATCCTCCACCTTGCGGTGCCGGCACACCGGGTTCTAGTCCTGGTCGGGGCGCCGGATTCTGTCCCGGTTGCCCCTCTTCCAGGCCAGCTCTCTGCTATGGCCAGGGAGTGCAGTGGAGGATGGCCCAGGTGCTTGGGCCCTGCACCCCATGGGAGACCAGGAAAAAGCACCTGGATCCTGGCTCCTGCCATCGGATCAGCGCGGTGCGCCGGCTGCAGCGGCGGCCATTGGAGGGTGAACCAACGGCAAAAGGAAGATCTTTCTCTCTCTGTCTCTCTCTCACTGTCCACTCTGCCTGTCAAAACATAAAAAAAAAAAAAAAAATAAGTGGTGGCTTAACCTGCTGTGCCACAGTGCCGATCTCATAATCTTTCTTTAAGACAGGGGTTCTTTAGAAATCAATTTGGTTTTTTAATTCTATTTTTTGTAACCCAGGAACCTAGTGTGATGCAAGCACTCCTCTAGGATTTGATCACTATCTATACACAAATGACAAGAGAACTCCATGTTTCCAGGATCTGCATCGACAAGATCTTTGTTACCTGAATTGACAAGAAGAGGACAAAGTGGGGAGATGGTCAGATTGTGTGCTTGGTTGTGGAAGCCATGTTAGAATTAAATGTGTAGTGGGGCCGGCACCATGGCATAATAGGTTAATCCTCCGCCTGCAGCACCAGCATCCCATACGGGCACCGGTTCTAGTCCCGGCTGCTCCTCTTCCAATCCAGCTCTCTGCTGTGGCCCGGGAGGGCAGTGGAGGATGGCCCAGGTGCTTGGGCCCCTCCACCCACATGGGAGACCAGGAAGAAGCTCCTGGCTCCTGGCTTTGGATCGGCGCAGCTCCGGCCGTTGCGGCCATCTGAGGAGTGAACCAAAGGGAGGAAGACCTTTCTCTCTGTCTCTCCCTCTCACTGTCTGTAACTCTACCTCTCAAATAAATACATAATAAAATCCTTTTTTTTTTTTAAAGAATTAAATGTGTAGTAAGGATGACTTATAATGTATAATGTATTATAACTTATAATGTATACTTATAATGTATGTGCTCAATATCCAAGCAGGCTGAATTGGCAAATTATATTTTTGTTTTCAATGTATTCTCTCTCCCTTTCCTTAGCACAAATGTTTGCTTAAATTTCCAGCTTAGGCAGGAACAGTTAAAATACACCATAGTCAGTAGTAGGTCTCCCCCCCAAAAGCAAGTGGAGAAATTGAGGCAAAAGAAATAAACATTAGAATTTCCTGCCTAAGTATCTATTAGCTCAGTAGCCCTATATTCCTAATAAAGAAGATAACTTACGGCTTTCCCCTCTGGGGAATCGAATGTTAGAAATCTGAGGTCAGAATCCGTCTCCAAGGGCCGCTCCAGATCGTAAAGTTCTCCGTTTACTTGAGCCGCCACTGCAGTGTCTGCCAGCGTAGAACTTCAGCAGCGCAGGTGGAGATGAAGAGAAAGACAGGGTGACAATCCACAGGGGAAACCGGGACTAACCGCTCAGGAACCCAACACTTGCAAAAGGGAGAGTTCAACTATCATTTCTTCCCCCAATAGACAATGGAGGACAGGCAGAGATTCTGACACCAGTGCTGCTAAAACAAATCCTCAGGGAAGATCATGTTGATAGGGATGAAACAGAAGCACGAAGACCACATTCTTTCCCTGCTCCTGCACAGAGGTAGTAAGGGCAGAGGGTAATCCTTGTAGGCACAGGAAGGGCCTGGTACCTGATCTGCTGGGCAAGCTGGTAAGGGGTTGTGTTCCACGCTACCGCATCCACTTTCTGTCCTCCAGGAAGCGATATTTTAATAGTCCTGGATTCCTCTTGTGCCTTGCTTGCTAGCTTCTTTACCTGAACAGCCCACAGCTCCTCAAAAAGGCCAAGCCTCTCTGTCAACCAGGGTGGTGGGGTCGGCACAGCTGCCTGGAGGGAAAGACAGGTTAGCAGTAGGCAACTCAGGTCCCATCGTCCCTTGTTGGGACCGGGGATGGTGATTCTAGGGGATATTTCAGCGGCCTTGGTCCTAATCCCTAGTCTTTAAGGGGACTGGGTGACACAGGCCGTAGGCTGGGGGCCCTACAGGGCTCTGCGTGCCCCTGGTCGCTGACTGGAGAAGCAGATGGCGTTTAGGGCTAGTCAGGTAGCCCAGTCCTGGGACTCGGGGATGGAGGGAGAAGTGCTGTGAGGCTAGGCCCAATGCGGTTCGAAACTCTTGGGTATCTCACGTACTGTGCGTAGCCCGCTAGCTTGTAACCCTAGGAGCCGAAGCCGCCGCCATCTCTGACACAACCCCATGTTTCTTCAAATCTGTACCTACATCCTCAGATTATCGCTCCTTCTCCTGCGCCAGATTCCTCATTGGCTTCTGGTCCAACAATTTCCCTTTCTATTGGCCACAGCAGCTGCCACTCTAATAGGACACCACCCCTAGGAACTCCGAAGAAATACGCCCCCCACACAGCGCGACTAGCGGCTAACTGGTTCCGACAGGCCGGAAGACAGAAGCTGTTACACACACCTGCAGTCCGGAAACCCGCGGCATTTTAGCTGAAACCCCAGAACAGCAAATAAGTTGTCCTGCGGCTTTGAGCACCAGGGCAGGAAAATTCTTGAGCGGGAGCGGAAGAAAAAGGCTGCAAGTGGTAGTAATTTCCTTTTAACCATAGAAATTTTAGTACAAAGTCCTTTAGGCAGGTAGAAAACTGTTGTAAGCATAGCCAATGGAACCTGAAAGACTGAGTGTAAATCCTGATCTGCCATGAACTGTGTGATTCTGGGTAAATTGTTTAATTTCTCTAAGCCTCAAGTTTCTCATCTACAAAATATAATAGACCCATTCCCAAGAGTAAAGGTTAATTTTATGTAAATCATCTAGCACAGTGAGTGGTATATGAGCAAGAAGTTTTTGCAACAGAAAAGAATCTACAGAGGTCAATTCTGGGGAGTCTACATAGTCATGGTGCTTACGAGGGACCTCAGAGGCCCTTGGGTCTTAGAAAGAATCTGATGTCAGGGAAGGTAAATGATTTAAGGTCCAACAGTAGTCATGATGCTGGCTCCCAAGTCTTCTACTTTGTCTAGTAATGGACTTCATTCCCAGCATACCCTCCCTCGCCCCAGAAAGGGCGTCTGAGGACTTAGCCCTCTGCTTCCTGCTTTGCCTCTCATTTCCATCACAGCTCTCAACTTCCTTTACTCCTTCCCTTCCCTCTCCTTGTTGCAAATAGGACCCAGGGCCAGGTATATCTTGATTCATTTTAAACAGGAAAAATGGAAACACAGCCAGACTTGTAAACTATTAAAAGGGGACTGGTCTTGGGGCAGCTTCAGGGTGCTCAGTAATTCCCGAAAGTCCCCTCACCTGGGGGGTGGGGATGCTTAGAGCTGGTTTTCAAGTTTCAGTGGTGATGAAATCAAGGGTTGTGGAGGAAGAGCTGTCAGAGAAAACTGTTTAATCTAGGTTTCCAGAAAGGCCGAAGGTGCTGTCTGGGGAGGGTAGCTGATCTGAGTCACAGGCACCGCTCTGGGTCTTGGCTCCATCTTCTGACATGTTAACACCCTGAAATAAAGAGAGAGAGACGAGACAAGACTGTGGGAGAGGAAGATTACTGGTGTGTGTGTGTATGTGTTGAGAAGGCAGTTAAGAATTTTAAAATAGCATTCAGAAAGGGTGATGACAGGTAGAACTTTTCTCATGGCTCTGCACTGAGAGACAGGGAGTGTTTCATGGCAGGCATCAAGGTTGCTGGTGCTCACTAAATACTGAAATTACAGTCACTGAATTGATCAAGGCTCCGAAGGACACATCTTCTTTAATGGTTTTACCTTGTCCTCTCATTGGGATAGTTCCCAGACGGTGGGATAAACAGGATGCCCTGAGACGGCAGCTCCCTACACTCACCCCTCAAACATTATTGATGACTGCTTACTGTGTGCATTGCACTGAGCAGGGTGCTGAGATGCCAATCAGCGACATCACCTGTAACTTGTGTTGCAGTGGAAGGAGGAAGGAATGTCAGAATGACTCCGTCCCACCACTTGTAGCAAGCAAGCAAGAACTAGCTAAGGCATATTCAGTAATTAACAGGTACTTCTGCTGACACGCAAATGCCTCAGCCTCAGGGAATTTAACCCGTTAACCTGCCTGGGAAATAGCCTTAAACTGTCATTGCTCCCCCTCACCTGCCAAAATACCAGTGAACACCCACTATGTGCCTAGTGCTACGGTTTCACTATCCTATTTAATTCCTAGAACTCTGTTTAGTAGCTATCCCAGGCTAAAATGGCAAACAAGCTTCAGAGAAGCCAAAGCCTGTATTGTTTGTGCGGTGTGGTACTGCCTCTCAGGGGTCAGGCGCTATGATGCCTTATACTGCACCCTTACCCTTTCTGGGGTGCACGACTCAGATACTTGTGGTCAGAGCCCTTTAACATAGGATGAAGCATCGGCCGCCAATAAAAAGCCAAGAGGCTTCTTCCAACATTTCCCTACTGGTCTAAGGTTAAAGAAAATGCAGCAGGAAGGAAATGCTGTTATATTTTCACAGAGGCATAAAGAAAAGGGAATTCTCACTAAAGGGAATGCTAGACCTGTAGTCAAATTTTAGGGCTCATTTTTACAGTAGACATCCAAGTTGGCTAAAGCCTTGGGTGAGAAGGTATTTTTTATAGCTTTAAGTTATATATAAGAATACTCCCAGGGGCTGGCGCTGTGGTATAGTGGGTAAAGCTACTGCCTGCAGTGCCAGCATCCATATGGGCGCCGGTTCGAGTCCTGGCTGCTCCACTTCTGATCCAGCTCTCTGCTGTGGCCTGGGAAAGCAGAAGATGGCCCAACTCCTTGGGCCCCTGCACTTGTGTGGGAGACCTGGAGGAAGCTCCAGCCATTGTGGCAATCTGGGAGTGAACCAGCAAATGGAAGACTTCTCTCTCTCTGCCTTTCAAATACATAAATAAATCTTAAAAAAAAAAAAAAAAAAAAAAGGAATACTCCCCAGTGAAGGCCAAATACATTTTCCATTTGTCAACACAATCACAGCACATCTCCAAGTCTACATATTTCCCTGCACTGGAGGTAGGGAATATTGGAGGTAAAAAGGAGAAATTTGAAAGATAATATAGAAGGTATTTGTCACTGCCTTAAAATGCTTTTGAGGCCTAAAGTAGCTAAATAGTTAAAAAGGTACAGCAGGTGGTACTGAGGTTAGATTTGCTTAAAACTGTTTTGACTTAGCATTATAACTGCAAGATCTAGGATGGAACTGAGCTTTTATCTTTAAAATGCCACAGTGGTAGAGAAAATCCAGCCAAAATCGCTGACTGCACAGGGCATGGGTGTATAGAATGGATTTTGGCTTTGAGAACAAAACCTTAGGCTCACCTGAAAAATTTTCTGATGATTTCCCTTCCCCCAAGACATCTCTTGAGTCTGGAGAAAAGAAAGGAGACACTGACCCCTGCACTTAATCCTGATTGTGTGGAGACCAGGGGAAAGATAAGGAACTCCCCAAACACAGGAGCCAGTGCAAGGAAGTATCAATTTAGTCTCCATGCTAAAGTAAAAACCAAACAGCAAAGTACTCTACAAAAACAAGAGAGGTGCTGGACATATGTACAGAAGGAAGCACACAGGTAAAGCTGGCTCCTCAATAACCAAAATTTCAAATTCAGCCTTTACCAACACCGACTGACCTTGGCCACCCAGAGGGCTGTCAGGTTTAAAGGACTCCTAGCGGGAGGTGGGGGGGATGGTGGTGAAACTGATGGAACCAGACACTGTGCCTATTTCTATCTGTTCTTACTGAAATAACCCAAGAAATACCTACATGTTTCAAGCCTTTTGTTTACACACATTATGTGGCAAAGGACCGGAATAACCCTCAGAAATAAAACAGATACAATAGACCTGATGAAGGAAGTAAATTCACTGGAACACCTAACTTGCTATGAACCCAAACAGGTCCAGGGTGGACTACAGCCAACACCCTTTTGAGTCAAACACAAAACTGCAGCTTCTATTTGTGTTTGTCATTGCAGAGCTCACCAGCCCCTCCACCCACATCTTTCCTCTCAACTTCTCTTGCCTAGGTTAAAACAAAGGACAAGAAAAAAGTGGAATCATAAGGGGACTGCAATTACCGAGTTCTGAACAGCTGTCAGCCACCTTATCCCCATGCCCTCAAACTTGGAACTAAGCAGGTTTCTCCTTTCCTCTCCCAGCAGCTCATCAGAACTTAACCCTGGTATCTTGTCATTGCATTTGCTCTTCTCTTTTAAAGCAGCTGCCTTCCACAAGAACGGGAACAGGATGTTTACCTAAGAGCTGGTATCTCTTAATGGCGTCCCTTATCCAAGTCGCCTGTGCAGCCTCGATGAGTTATTACGTAGCAATTGTGAACAGCAGCTGACCAGACTTGTGTAGTTACTCATAAACAAGTATGAGAAACGCCCCAATACCCCAAAACCCATTCTGATGGTGTTTGTATTACTGTCTACATACATGAGGGGCTAACTCATTCCTGCTAAACATGACTGGCTTACTTAGAGCCACCTAGGTGGATGGAGTTATGTGTTTCCATTAACATGCCCAGAAAGGACACTGAGAGCCCCAAAGGTGTCGCTTCCTCAGGGGTAGAGAGGAACTGGGTGGACGAGAGAGGGCAGCCAGCATGGTGGTGCGCCCTCCCTGTCAGCTGTGAGCCTAGGCTGCTGCTATTTCTTAAGTATCCAGTGACACAAGGACCAGCTTCGTGCAATCAAAGCTGCTATTTAGAGTCTTCTACTCTGCCAGTGACCAGGCCTGGCTCAGATACAGACTACTCTGCTGCAGCCCTTAAAGCCAACATTCCACCTATTCAGCCTCACTGGATTATGGAAAAGAACGGGGTGAGGGAAGGGTTAAGTGTGGTTTCTGCACGGCAGATTGCCAATATACGGTAAGAAGGGTAGGTGCGGGAATGAATAGGCCGTGGGGGACTCCTTACCACGCCTTCCCCCCTAGTCCATGCTTCCTTTAAAAATGTTTGTCTCACAATTGTGCAACTTTTTGAAGACACACACAAGTGACTATCTATACACTATATCCCTTTCGTCACCAACCACTCCCTGAACATCTTGATCCCGCCCCACCCGTCATCTCTTTCCAAAATTCAATTACACAAAGGATCAAACAAAAAACCCACAAGTCCATGAAGATCTTAGAGGCTCAGATTGCCTTCAGCGACATTAAGTGCGCAAGTCAAAGGGCACAGCTGGACAAGATCAGCGTGGGGGGCTGGGGGGCGGGGGAGAGTCAACCACACAACAAAGACGACCATACTTTATTAAACTGGAAAACAAAATACTGGGGACAAGGAGATTAAAGAAAAGAGGAATGGCTGCAAGAGAGTAAAGTGCAAGTGGTCACGAGGGAGGGAGGGACAGACAGGTGGGCTACGTTCTGAGTGCGCCTCAGGAACGTGCAGGGACACTCACCACTCTCCCTCCTCCCACATACCCTTTAGGCCAAAAGTGAATATAATCTTCAGAGACACAGCCAGGCTTTTCCTCTGCGTTCTGTAGTTGGTTCCACCTTCAGCCCTGGACAGTCATGTGGGGTCTTCACTGGAGAAGCTTCCGGTTTTCCAACCCTGGGCCTGTTCCATACAGCAGCAGTTTCAGGTCCTGGACAGGTTCCTTCCTATGTGCACTCACCAGTGAAGCCAGGGGCCCTTGATCAAAGCCCGTCTCAAAGAAAAATGTCAAACCTTTAGAACTAGTTATTTTATTAAATGATGTTAATACACATTTCAAAAAAGGATTTGCTGTTGCCTCTAAAGCATGTACTTGTTTTGCTTCCACACTGAACACGTGAGAATATCAATCCAACATATCTAATTTTAATCTTAACAGGCACCCCCACTCATTAAAGAAAAAAGGAAAAAATGGGAGGGGGAGAAGCAGTAATTTACAGCGGCTTCAAAACAATATCAGCTTCAGCTTAATTCTGCATGAACCGGTAATTTCAGGATAGTGACTATCTTGCAGTTAGGAAGTTTAGCATATTCACATTATCTAGATAGGTTTTCTGTACCATGTATATCACACATTGTATTCCTGGTTTCAGAAAGGATAAAAGCCCTACTCTGCTCACTTCACCCTCCCTGGAATCAAACCAAGCGCTATTTACTCTTGACTTGGGGGAGAGCAGAGGGCAGCAGGGAAAGCTCTCAGCAGGCTGAAGAAGGAACTCTTACAGAATCCCAGAGAGCCCTGTTTCTGACACTGCTTCACTGAGTCTAAGTGGTACCAGTGTCCTCATGACCCCGCCGATCCTCGGTCTGTGATTTTACAGTGGGCACCAAGGACCTCAGTAACAACTCACATTCTGCTTTCCCATGAATCATGCCTCGCCAAGACACACTATGCTATGCTTTCTTTAAAAAATATCTTGTTTATTTTTTTAACTCAGGTTGAAATACAAAAGTCAGAGCATGGTCACGGAGTTTTAAATCACAGACACAGAGAGAATAAAACCCCTTTCATATTATGAATACCAGAACTGTCTTTTTTTGTGTCACTATATCACATATATACATTGTCATCGTCATTGACTGCTGTAGAAAGATTTCCTTAAAATGAATAGCTGACAGTTTCATACAAATCCTCACTTCCATCCTGAAATAAACACACTGAGGATTTTGTGGCTTAAAAAAAAAAAAAGAAAACACCTCACACACACATACACACATTAAAAAAGAAAACAAACAAACAAACAACCCCCTGGGTCCACCTTTTCAAGTGTACAACAAAGTTTTCCTTTCGTGTATCAGCCACCACACTTGTGAGGACGGTTACCCTGCCCCAGCATCCAGGACGCCAGTTCCTGACATCCCCACATTTCCTGGTAAAACCAAACGGTCAGAGAGCCTTTCCAAGTAAACACTACTTTTAGCTTAAACAAGAGCAGCAGAAATAATTCACATTCTTTAACTAGGATGAAAAACCACCCACTTAATTTCTGCAAAATTAAAATCTATTTCAGTTCTGAAAGTCAAATAGAACCCCCCCACCCTCCACCCCACTCTGTGTCTCACGTTTTTCCCTAAACAAATGTCATAGGACTCAATATAACTATACTTCCTTTGCTTTGCTACACTATGTACCCCATCCCCCACACAAGATCATGGTATCATGCATTTCTGTAGGGAGAGCCACAGGGCAGAGAGGCCTGAGAGGGTCAAAGGAAGACCACATATGCATTCGGAGACTTGCAGCATCCTAATCACAGAACACATGGTGAGTTCCCATCAGTAACACGGATAAATTACACAAAAACTCCCAAGCTATGCTGCATACCCGTTTTAAGCTGCTCTTTCTCTGAAAAGCAAGTTTATACAAAGAATCACCTGTCACTACATTGCACACCCTCCCTCAACTTTCATATTCTGCTAGATGAACCCCAAGCAACTCCCGTGACTCCTGCTGTTAGCTCCACATTAAGTTGGCAGAAAAATACATCAAACTCGCTAGGATTCCCTCAGAAACTCAAAACATACTTTTACTTATTCAGTTGTAGATTATGAGTGTGAACCACGGAGTAAAACACTGTATGCAAACAGTGTTGAGTAGAGCGGTATTGGCTTTTCAGCATTCCCTAGAAACAAACAGTACAAGTACAGTGGTTGTCTTCTTCCCCAGCACTAGCTGTAGAAATACAAACAAGCCTTCCAGTCCAGGAGAAGGAACGCACACCCCTGTTGTGTACATCGACTAAGAGCAGAAACCTTCCCTACTGCTCGGGGCTGGGAGCCTTGAAGTGTGGCAGGCTGCAGTTGGCAGGGTAGGGCACAGTGCACTCAGCAGGGCCTCTGGTTGCCCTGCAAAGGTGCAGGTGGCAATACTCAGCTGCCTCTGAAGAGGGCTAACATAAGTATCTCGTCTGAAATCCCAGCAATGGGGTGGGCATGGGGGGGGGGTACGACGACACAGGACTGAGGCAAGGGAAAAGGAAGATAAAGATAAATGTTTTCTTTTCTCTATTAGTTAACGTCGCTGAAAACCACTAACAAGTAATGCATTAGGGAGGCACCATGGTAAAACTATGTCCACTTCTTATATGAGAAACTGTAGGGATAGTTCAGTTGCACCTTTGAATCAACTGCCCATCACAGTGACTGACTTTCTAGCCAAAGTAGGAATGAAAACTGAGGGAGAAAAAGCAGGAGGCTAGAGGGTGGTGCAATATGTGTGAAAGTCTCAAAACGCTTTCTACTCTTTCCTGTTTACAAAGGATAGGCAAGTCATATCACATCGCATAATTAATGGTTCTTTCCCTAACTCCACATACTGTAGTCATTCCTTGTTTGAAATTATAACTGGCCTCCTCTCTCATTCCAGGACAAAGAGAAAAATTTCTACCAGGACAGAATGAGGCTTGTATTGCCTGATAGTACATAAGAGTAAGAGGCTGACTTAAGAAAAGAAAAAATTAAGATTTTAGAAGGGTAAAGAATTCAACTTCAACGTGCCTTGAAAAACAAAAGAAATGAACTTGACAGGCTCAAGGTCTTCCCCTCTTCCTTGCAACTTCTTGGCTGTCAGCAGGGCCCAAGCCCTGGTTACAGCAGTTTCTCAGCTGGAGAGAGAAGGGGACAGGAATCCTTCCGTAGACTACATGGTAAATCAAGCCCAACATTGCAAGTGTTGTCATCTGCACTGATGGAAGTTTTATTTCAAATGTAATATACTCTTCAGTAGACCGGGTCAAAGAAATGTCACCTGCCTCCCCACTCCCCAAGCCCCCAGCCAAACAGAGTGGCTTTACGTTGTGATTTTTCCTTCCTTTAAATGCAAACAACTTGGGGAAGGTAGATAAGTGCAGTGGGAAGGACTGGATGGAATAGTAAAATGTAAGCATATGTGACTTGTTAATTTAGAAGGGAGGCCCTCTGTCATAATAATAAAAAAATCAAGGGAGGAAAAACAAAAACAGCATTAAACCAAACTCCTACTTCCATTGCTCTCTAGACTGTTCAGAATGCCTTTCCCTTGGTTTCCATCAGTACCTGGGAGGGAAGAATGGGCGTTTTGGTGCAAAGAACGGAGGGCCCCTAGCAAAAGGTGGCCTGGGTCTCTTTAAACTGTGGAACGGGTCTCTGCTGAGAAAAGGTTCCCTAGGCCGAAAGTCTGGCCGGGGACTCCGTAAAATCATACCACTCCGGCCGATGGTGTCTCTGTGTGAGGGACCCAAGGGGGGGCCACTGCTGCTGTTGCTGCTCCCCCCACCTCCTCCTCCATGGGCTGGGCCCAGGTGCTCCAGAGAATGGGAGGGTAGGCTCAGGCTCTCGCGGACACGACTAAGGCCAGGGCCGTTGAGGTCCCGTTGGGTGGGGCCCCCATGGTCCCTGGGTCCTGGGAGTACCCCGAAATGCTCAGCCAGGGCCCCCTGAAGGAGGGCACTATGGTCCTTGGGAAACACTGCCACAGCCCCTGCCACTCCGTGTTCTGCTAATGGTGGGGTTGGGAAGGGCACAACCCCAGAGTGGTCAACAGGGGGTGGAGGCGGGGGTGGAGTAGAAAAGGGGACACCACTTCCACCACTGCTATGTTCCCCAGGGGGAGGAGGAGGGGGTGGGGCAGGGAAAGGAACTCCGCTGTGCTCTCCAGGAGGAGGGGGCGGGGCAGCATGGGTCAGGGCTGCCTCCTTCGCGAAGGGGTTCGAAAGATCCACAGAGGGCAGATGAGTGGGTGCATCTCGAGAGAAGATACCACCATGATCCTTAGGAGGGGCAGGTGGGGCAGATGACGGCCCCACTGGCTCTCTCTGGAAGGGCGTCCCGTGTTCCAAGGGGGACGGGGGGAGATGATGCTCAAATGTTGAGTTGAAACTGCTGGAACGAAAGCTGCCGACACTCTCCTGAAATTGAGGCGCCCGTTCCTTGTACGGTGCTGCTTTAAAGCCAGTGAGGCCTCCGCTGCCCCCACCCCCAAGGGACGCCAACTCAGAGGCACTTGAGGGGCCATTGTCAAAAGTGCTGCCTGATGTGCTCAGATCAAACCAACCCACCCTTGAGGCCTCACGAGGCCCATGTCCTCGGTTTCCCTTCCCAGGAACTCGGATGGACTCTACGGTCTGGATCGGCTCCCCTGACATCCTCCTGTTGGAAGCATTATGATAACCCAGGGTTTCTATGGGGGCGCCCTTTTCTTCTGTGCTATCAGGCAAGTCTAGGCAGGAGGAAGAGACGCGGGTTTCGATGCGGTAGTGCTCTTCTTGTTGCTGTGAATCAGTGGCGCTCAAGCTGGGCTGGGCGAGGTTTGAGAGACCAACACCATCACTTGAAGTGCCCTTGTTGGGGGTCTGGCCAAAATGCTTATCATCTGAGGGCTTGCGTGAGGCGTTTTTAAGCATATTCTTAAACTCAATTGTCGACGTGGTGGAAATGGTGGAGGCCAGAACCTTCTCCACGCCTGACGTGGATGGGTGGCCCGTGGGAGTGGCAAGGGTGCTCTGCGGAGAGAAAAGGGAACGGTGTGGGACTGGGTGAGGAGAGTCTGGGTACTGCTTCTGTGGCAAACTGAGATGCCCAGTGGTAGACTGAGACAAGCTATTGTGGTTGGAGTCGGGGGCGAAAAACGAGTCACTCTTACTTGGTGATGGTGACCGCTCAGACCCAGGTTCAGTCCCTCTTATGTTGAAGGCACCAAACAGCCCAGGGGAAGACGAGAGTCGTTCACAGTTCTCACTGGAGTCCAGGAGGGCCCTCACAGCTGGAGGCAAGGCAGACTTTACCCCGAACTCCTGGGCCCTGTGGCTGTAACTGGACAGGATTGGCTGGAACTCAGTGGTATCAGAAAGCTTGCTTGATTTCAGAATCGATTTGGCTGGCTTCTTCTCTAGGTTCATCATGGCGGAGGGTGGAGGCCCTGAGTACTCAAAATCTCGGTAATCTTCATCTTCTTGGAAAGAAGTATCTGGATAGAACTTCTCCTGTGAAGAGTCCATCAGGGAAGATGGTCTCTCCATTCCATCAGAAGGCTGCTTATAAGGAGATTCACTGCCCAGGCCAAAAGGCCGATATGTAGATACAGAATTGGAGAGCTCCCGGGGGTAGCTTTCATCTCTCCCAGGGGGTGGTGATCTTGTACTGCTAGGTGTTGAGGAACCAGGGCTAATGATCTTAGAAAGCAGGGACATGGTATCTACACTGCTGGATGTGGGCTTGTCCATCATCTCATCCTGGGTGGGTGTCCCACTCCGTTCATCCCGTACAGGGGTTCCATCAATGTTGTCGACTGAGGTGCTAGTAGGGCCACGCTGGAAGTCTGAGGGATGACTCTCTGATGGGGCACTGGACCCCAAACTGCTCAGGATTGGGATGTTTAAATTTAAGCCACTGAAACCAGGATTACCTTTTAAGAAGTTGTGGATCTTCATTTCCAGGCTTGGGGAGGTGGACTCTGACTCCAGCTTTGGCTTGGAGATCTCTGAGGATTGGCACATGGCAACTTCAGTAGGTGGGACAGCAGGGCTAGTACTGTGGGTACCTGTAAACCCCAGAGAGTTGGATGGTAGTTTAAAAGTAGTGCTTGGGAGCCCAGGGCTTTGCCCAATTGAGGCCTTGCTGGCTGAAGTTGAAGAGACTTCGGAAGTTGATGAATTAGGAGAATAGTTGAAGCTTTTGGAAATAAATGATTGGGTACTGGAGGGCAGATTTCTTCCCTTTACGGTGGAGACTGTGGTGTTGGCAGGGGAGGACGACGTGCTCTGGGGTGCAGCTTCACTGACTGGAACTGGGTTCCCAGTAACACTCTGGAGCAAAGATGATAGGCCTGTAGAAACAAAGATTAGAGGGGTTAAAAAGAATAACTGCCTACCATAGAGTAAAAATAACACAGGCTAACGGGATGTCCTCATTCATTCTGGTGGGAACCAGAGATTAAATATGAGGCCAAAGGGAATCCAGACCAAACAATCAAGGGCTAAATGTCACAGAAAACAGTGGATCTGGTTATCAATATAAAGAGAACAAATCACTGGAATGAGTCCAGTACAGTCCAGAAGTCATTCCGACATGGCACAATAAAAGGCAACAGGAAGAGGGAGATTTTAATGTCAGAATCATTTATAGTTTAAATAAGGCAAAGCAGGAAAAGAAAGGAGGCAAAATTATTTTCAAAACAATGCTTTCAGCCAGTATTTCTTAATGTCTGATCTAGGGAGATGTTTCTCTAAATGCAAATAGGTATGCTGCCCTGCCTTTCCTTTCCAATCTCTATAATTATTTCTGATAAATTAATGTATGCTGTTATTCTCAAGAGGGATACCATATACAGATTCCATTAGTTTATTTCAACAGGGAATACTATTTTTTTTAAAGGTTTGTTCATTCATTTCTTTATTGGAAAGGCAGAGCTAAGGTCATACACACACACACATACACACACACACATACACACACCCCTTCCAGCTACTGGGTCACTCCCCAAATGGCCATAACAACCAGTTCTGGGCTAGGCTGAAGCCAGGACCCAGGCATACCATCCTGATCTTGTACTTAGGTGACAGAGGCCCAAATACTTGAGTCATTTTCCACTGCTATCCCAGGACATTAGCAAGACACTGGATTGGAAGCAGAGCATGTGGAGCAACACTGACATGGGATGCTGTCACTGCAAGTGGCAGCTTCACCTCCTGTGCAACATCAGCCCCACCACTGATCTTTTCACAGGAAAAAACACAATTCACATTTTACAGCTCGGAAAATTTAAGGATTACTAATTGGTCCAATGGACAGTGATGGGATTCAACCTATTGATTGATAGACAAAATCTTCTCAGAAGCATTGAGAAAAAAATTATTTGAGGCAAAAGCTGAATTTCACCAAACTGCTCCTAAAGAAAATGTCTCAGAAGGGTACTTGACAGAGATAACAGATGGCTCCATAAATTCAACCATATTCTGGAAAATTTACTCAGTTTATAGTCATAAATGAAAACCTTAAATATATATTTCATCCAAGTTTATAGCTTTTATTCACTGTATGCATTAAAACTATTCCTTAGCAATAATCCAGTGAAAGAAAACATACTTGATGTATTTCAGGTAATGTTTAAAACCCCAATTTCAACCTGTATTTGTTAACAGACTTAAGATCTGAAGAACTTCAGAGCCATTCTATCCTTGTAACATTTGAATGCCACCTATTTCTAAATAATGTTGCATGCTTTTACTGTAATCCATAGCTCAATATCTAATATCCAAACAACTGGAATACTATTTATTTTTTCCTAAAATAAAAATCCTTATTTTATTCCAAAAAGTTCCTTGAAATTTCCTCCATCTTTACTAGATTAATTCCTAGCAGTTGTTGTTGTCAGCAAAACCTCAAGTCCTTGAGCATTAGAACATGACATAATCATATTATTTGGCTTTTTCCCCCCAGATATTGTAGGATAAATTCTTCAAAAGATCATCTCATTAAAGTAGGTATACTTGTTATTTCTGGTAATAGGTAAAATTATCTTTCACCACTAAACAGTGCTGTTTTTCGATGTCAACAAGCCATATTCTATGCTGTGAATGACAATCAGAAAAATTTGAGGGAGTTCTTTACAGGCTCTGAGGAAACATCTGTTTGAGTTGCTGGACACGTCCCTTTGAAGTCAAGGAGAATTCCACTTTCCATGAGGAAACAAACTTCCCTGTTATCCTACAAATGTTGTTTTCTGGGGTACACACTTCTCATTTTATCAGAATACACCTAGCTCTGCTCAAATTTTGCTGGATGATAAAAACCACATGACCCTGTTGCAGCAGTTTGATGGGGAAGAAAACTTCTCGTTATGATACAGCACTGTATCTATATGAAAATCTAAAATACAAACGAATTTGGGATTTTTCCTTCAATTTATTTGACAGAGTGACAGAGAGAGACATAGGGAGAAGAGGGAAAAATCTTTCATTCACAAGATCACTTTAAATGGCCACATGGGCCAGGCAGAGATAGGAACTACATCCAGGTCTCCCACGTGGGCAGCAGAGGCCCAAGTAACTGGGCCTTCTTCCGCTGCTTTTCCATGCACATTAGCAGGGGGCTGGATGGGAAGCAGAGCAGCCAGGACTGGAACCGGCATTCAGATATGGGATGCTGGTGACATAAACAGTGACTTAACCCATTGTGCCACATCCTAGCCCTGAGTTCGAGATTTCCACTTTAAGAAAGAGGTGATAGATGAGGGATTAAAAGGGAGAAATCAAAAACAATGTCAATTTCTCAAATGAACTGTCCCTTTAGTAATACAAGATATATTACAGTATTACCATCAACTAAAACAAATTATATTTATCTGAAAGGCAGAGCAATATTTTCTGTTTGCTTGTTTACTCCCCAAATGCTCTCAGTAGCTGAAGCTGGGCCGTAAGCCCGGAACTTGAAGTCTCTCACAGGGCCATTATCTGCTGTTTCCCAGGATGTGTGTTAGCAGGAAACTGGAATCAGAAGTGGAGCTGGTATTTCAACCCAGGCATTCTGAAATGGGATGCTGGTGTCCCAAGTGGCATTTTAACTGTACCAAATGACTGCCACCATCAATGTTTTAATTCTTTTAAAGATTTATTTTATTTATTTGTAAAGTGGAGTGATAGAAAAAGCAATCTTCCATTCACTGGTTCACTCCCCAAATGGCCTCACTGCCTGGGGCTAAGCTAGGCAGAAGCCAGGAGCCAGCTGGAATTGGAGCTAGAACTCCATCCAGTTTTCCCACGACGGTGGCAGGGGTCCAAGCACTTGGGCTATCTTCTGCTGCTTCCCCAGGCACATTAGCAAGGAGCTGGATTCGAAGTAGAACAGCCAAGACTTGAACTGGTGCTTCAACATGGGATGCCAGCGTGTCAACAGGTGGCATTTTAGCCACTGTGCTGCAATGCTGACCCACAATAAATTTTTTCATGTTGATGCCAATGGATGGGGGATGTGGACTATTACTTAGTTTACTGTTAGCAGCTGGTTCTGCGTAATCTAACCCTTCCATATATATAGTTTAAGACTTATTTGTCTGAAAGGCAGAGTGAGAAGAGAGTGAGATTCCATTAGCTGGTTCACTGTCTAAATGCCCCCAACAGCCAGGTCTGGGCCAGGCTGAAGCTTGGAGCCAGGAACTCCACTTAGATCTCCGTTGTGGGTGGCAGGAACTGAAGCCATCTATTTGAGCCACCACCTGCTGCTTGCTAGGTGCATTATTTTGCAGTAAGCTGGATTGGAAGCAGAGGTGGGACTCAGTCCCATGTACTCCAATATGGGGTATGGGCATCACAAGTGGCAGCTTAGGTTAACTGCTGTTCCACAATGCTCATCCTAAAATTTTTCTATATCTTAAGACAGAGTTCACTATAATGTTTGATTGATCAACTTACAGGACAGTTTAGGGAACAAAAAATTAATAGATACATATATAGTTCCATTTATACAGAGCAAGGTTTCCCAACCTCAGCACTAGTAACATTTTGGGATGTATCATCCTTTGTTATGGAAGGATGCCCTATGCAATACAGGAGGCTTAGCAACATGCCCCTAGCCTCTACCCACTAGATGCAACAGCACTGTACTTCAGGTGTGACATCCAAAAGTGTCTTCAGTCACTTTCAATGTCTCCTTGAGATCACTGATACAGAGTAAATCACTACAAGGTGCCTAAAAAGCCTTGTGGTGGAATCTCCAGGGTAAGAAGAAATTAGGTTATCTTTATAAAAACAAAAGAGACACAAAACAAGACTTGCATAGGTGAACAGAGAGGTTTAAATGATAGAGCCAGTGCCGTGGCTCAATAGGCTAATCCTCCGCCTGCCGCGCTGGCACACCAGGTTCTAGTCCCGGTCGGGGCGCCAGATTCTGTCCCGGTTGCCCCTCTTCCAGGCCAGCTCTCTGCTGTGGCCCGGGAGTGCAGTGGAGGATGGCCCAAGTGCTTGGGCCCTGCACCCCATGGGAGACCAGGAGAAGCACCTGGCTCCTGGCTTCGGATCAGCGCGATGCGCCAGCTGCAGCGCGCTGGTTGCGGCGGCCACTGGAGGGTGAACCAATGGCAAAGAGAGACCTTTCTCTCTCTCTCTCTCTCTCACTGTCCACTCTGCCTGTCAAAATAAATAAATGAGATAGAGATTATTGATAAGTGAAAACCAAAAAATACGTACCATAAGACAGAGGCCTCTATAAAACATTAAGACACTGGGAAAGAGGTATTAGGAATTTTGGGGGATAGTATATTAACCTTTCTTATTGTCTTCAGCTACAGTTAACATGAAAGTATAGAAAACTCATCATATGCCAACCTTTACTAAAAGCTGGGATTAGTGCAGTCCCTATTGGTGTCATGATATAGATGAAAGACTGGACTCCAGTCAAGAAATTTGCCTTTTAGGGGCTGGTGCTGTGGCATACTGGGTAAAGCCTCCACTTGCAATGCCACCAGTTCAAATATTGGCCGCTCCACTTCCAATACAGCTCCCTGCTAATGTGCATGAGAAAGCAGTGGAAGATGGCCCAACTCCTCAAGACCCTGCACCCATGTGGGAAGCCCAGAAGCAGCTCCAGGTTCCTGGCTTTGGATCGGCCCGGTTCCAGCCATTGCAGCCATTTGGGGAGTGAACCAGCGGATGGAAGAAGCTCTTTCTCTCTCTGTCTCTTACTGTAACTCTGTCTTTCAAATAAATAAAACTTTGAAAAAAGAAAAGAAAAAGAATTTGGCTTTCAGTCTTGGCTCATTGCTGAACAGAAAGTAGTGTGATCTGAAGCAGGCGAGTACCTCACTGAGCTTTAGTTTTCCTTACCTGAAAAGGTGGATATTAAACCAGATAATATTTAAAGACTCTTTTAGCTTCAACACAGTTCTATTCATTGTCAGCTCATAAATGACACACACACAGAGAAAGATGGATTAACTGTATTATGCATTTCATGGTTTTGAATTTCTCAGAAATGGAATCCTGGATTAAGCCAGAGACAGGCATTCACAATTCAAAGTCCTTCTGACACATGTCAGTTTACCTTGCAGCGCAGGGGCTGACTGTGTCTGGGTTTTGGAAAGAGCAGACAGAATGCTCTCTGGGGTGATTTCCACCTTGGAGAGGATATTTGCCAGAGGGTTGTGAGATGTTGTTGTAGCAGGTGCAGGTGTTTTCAGACCACTGGTGAGGTTGCTGGGACTGGTAGGAGTTCCTGGAGAAGGTCTTGATGCAGGACTGACCCCTGGTGGCAGAAATATGAACTCAAGAAAATGCAATTCATGACTTCACTCCAACGAGTTTGACAGGTTTAACAGGAATTCTTCTGTACCCCACAAATGATCCACATCACAGCACATACATAGAGAAAAAATCTGAAAATTATATTAACATTTGTTCCAATCGCTTCTCGGCCTTTCGGCTAAGATCAAGTGTGTAACATTTGTTCCACCTGGACCAACCTAAGCAAACAAGTACTAAGTTATTTCCAAATATATTCCTTAGTTTTGAGAGCCCCAACACAGAGACCAGACAACTTGGCTCTTTCTTCTCTACCAAATAGCACTTACGCTCATAGCCCTGTGATGCTCAATGCATGCTATCAGATGACTGGATGATCAGAATCACTGCAGCTGTGTTTCTCAGTCACTGCATAATTCAGATATTTGGTAAATTTTTGCTTTTGAAATGGCCTTTAGAACAAGGATATAGAAATAATCTCCTTTTCATTTAAAAATCCTATGATTTTTAATACAGGAAAAATGTATGAGGACAAGAGAAACAAACATTTGATTCTTTTGAAAAAGTGATAAAAATATGAAGTTATTTCACAAAGAAACATAAATGATAAGCAAATGAAAAATTTTTAACCATCTCTTTAATCAAAGGATGCAAATTAAAACAAACATCATTTAGGGTTGAATTTAACACAGGCTAAACAAAGCAAAACAGTGGAGAAGGTGAAGAATAGAAACTTACACAGACAATGGACATAAAATAGTGCACTTCTGCTTATCAATGTAGTGAAAACATTTGAAGATTTCAAAAACTTAAATATGCTGATTTATAAAATCTTTAAGCTTTTAGAAATATGTATTCTCCACTTGATGAAATGAAATGATTAGAATTTTCTTCCCAGTAATCCAGAGTAAGGCAGAAATGATAAAAGATTTGCGATGGTTATACTGTTGGATGGGTGATAACTAGATGGAGGTGCTCTACCTCTGTATACTTTCAGGTGAACCTTTTTTTTTTTTTTTTGGACAGGCAGAGTGGACAGTGAGAGAGAGAGACAGAGAGAAAGGTCTTCATTTTCCGTTGGTTCACCCTCCAATGGCCGCCGCGCTGCGGCCAGTGCACTGCGCTGATCCGATGGCAGGAGCCAGGTACTTATCCTGGTCTCCCATGCAGGTGCAGGGCCCAAGCACCTGGGCCATCCTCCACTGCACTCCTGGGCCACAGCAGAGAGCTGGCCTGGAAGAGGGGCAACCGGGACAGAATCCGGCGCCCCGACCGGGACTAGAACCCGGTGTGCCGGTGCCGCAAGGAGGAGGATTAGCCTAGTGAGTCGCGGCGACGGCCCAGGTGAACCATTTTTAAGTTAACACTTTCTATTAAATAAGATTAAATACTTATTACTCCTTTTAGGAACTATCATAACATTTTAGCATTAGGTTGTTTGTTATAACATTCTTTAACAATCAAAAACTGGAAACATTATGAATGTGTAACAGTATAGGATCAGAAAACATCAAATGCTAGACAGCTATTAAAAATGTATAGATGAATATTTAATGACATAAAATGTTCATGATATGTAGTTAAATAGCTGGTTTTGAAACAGTATATACCAGCAATATGCTTCAATTATTAAAAGAAAAAATATTACAAAGATATAATCCCCCAAGCATACACATATGTACTCATAAAAGCAAACAAGTGGTTTCCTTTGGGGCAGCAGGATTACAAATAATTACTTTTTACTTTCTGATTTTCCTATAATGACCATATATTGATTTTTAAAATCTGAATTAAAAAAACACAAAACCCAGATAGCTGGCTCAATTTACAAAGATGGAAATCAGCTTCCATCCTCTTTCCTGGGCTACTTACCAGTGTTTTTCATGACCGATGTCAGGCTGCTAAGGATGGAACTGATCTTTGCTAGATCCACATTGGCCAGGTTTGGCAAAGCCAACCCTGGGGAAGGGGACAGAAGAGAAGTATTCACAGGCTTTGGAAGAGGTGGGGTTGCTGTCATGGTCACAGGCACTGGGGTACATGGAGAGGCCTTTGAGATACTCTCAGTTGGCTTTGTAGGTACAGCAGTGGATACAGCTGACTTTTCCACAGGTTTTTCTTTTCTGTCCTCCACTGTTTCCACAGAGAAAAGAGACGATATTATACCTGACTACTTCCCAAACTTTGCTTCAAACATGAAAAACAATACATCTGATAGTTCCCAAGTTGGGGGCAAAAAGCACTATACTCCGGAGAAACAACCACTCAAGTCATGTTTTTTTTTTTTTTTTAAAGTTATACTATACTCTTCATAATTTTTGACACTTCCCATGTTCTATACCTGCTTCTAAAAAAATTTCGAAGTTGTTTATTTTACTTTTTAATGATTTTTCTGTATTGTCTTAGTGTATTAAATGTGCACATTTCTGGATGGGAAGAAAGGAGAGATGGATGGAGGGAGGCTGTGATGGGAGATGAAGGCACAGGAAGTGGGGGAGGAAAAAAAAAAAGGCTGTTACTGTGGCAGTGGGCTTCCCAAAAACCCAATGATATATAACAATCTGGAAATACTACTTGGTATACATCTGTGGTGTCTTTGGGAGATATTTATTATGATTTTCCTAGTCTTTTCCATTAATTTGAGAACATTCTTAGAAACAGAAACTGTATATATTATACTTTATTTTTTTTTATTTTACAGGTAGAGATAAAGACAGTGAGAGAGAAAGACAGAGAGAAAGGTCTTCCTTCCATTGGCTCACCCCCCAAATGGCCACTACAGCTGGCGCTGTGCCGATCCGAAGCCAGGAGCCAGGTGCTTCTTCCTGGTCTCCCATGCGGGCAACAGAAGCCCAAGCACCTGGGCCATCCTCCACTGCCCTCCTGGGCCACAGCCAAGAGCTGGACTGGAAGAGGAGCAACTGAGACTAGAACCTGGTGCCCATGTGGGATGCCAGTGCTGCAGACGGAGGATTAACCAAGTGAGGATTAAGATTAACCAAGTGAGCCACGGTGATGGCCCCCTCCTTTGGTTTTCTAAAACTGCCCTACTAGGAGTGCAATTGGGCATTAACTCAAGCTGCAATTTTTTTTTCTTTTACAGGTAGAGTTAGACAGTGAGAGAGAGAGACAGAAAGGTCTTCCTTCTGTTGGTTCATTCCCCAAATGGCCGCTACAACCGGCGCTGCGCCGATCCAAAGCCAAGAGCTAGGTGCTTCCTCCTGGTCTCCCACGTTGGGTGCAGGGCCCAAGCATTTGGGCCATCCTCCACTGCCTTCCCAGGCCACCCAGCAGAGAGCTGGACTGGAAGAGAAGCAACTGGGACTAGAATCCAGCACCCATATGGGAGGATTAGCCTAGTGAGCCACAGCACCGGCCCCAAGCTGCAGTTTTAACTCTTGATAACTTTACAATGTACTACTTTTACTGCTTTAAAGGCTGGATATTATATTTATTACATTCAACAAAAGTGAAATCATCTAGTAAGAGTAATTATAAAAGCTGGGATATCAGAGAAACAATTCACCAATTCAGGCCGCTTTATGAAAGAGCGGTTGATGAACTGTGGCACTCCAAAATGGGGTGTGGGCATGACAAATGCTTGCCGCAAGTTGTACTTCAAATGCTCAACATTCATATGTAGCTGCTAGTGACTACCATCCAGAATTGTGCATATCTTGACAACAATTCTTCTTAAACTTTTAATTTATTTGATGGGCAGAGAGACAAAGGACATAAAGATAGAGAGCCCTCCCTGGGCCCAGGGGCTGAAGTTGAAGAGAAGAACTCAATCACTGAGCTATCACTACTTCCTCCCAGGGTCTGGACTGACAGAAGTTGTAGTCAGAAGTGGAACTGGGTATCATGAATCCAGGCACTCTGATCTGAGACACAAAAATTTTAATTATCATTTTAACCACCAGGCTAACACCCACCCTGAATAATGATTCTTAAGCTATGTGGCATACCAAATCTTAGACTACTACTCTAGAGAGAATAATGGTATTCTCAAACTTATATGGATTGAACTATGTTTTAATATCTGCTTATGACTGACTTATTGGTGGGAAAGCAAAAGACATATGAAATAAACTATTAATCACATAAGGACATACCAATGATTTTTGATCCATCATCTTCCACGTCTGAGAGTTCCATGTCTTCCACATCACGATTATCTGTCACAGGTTCAGGGGTGGCAGATTTCTCACTCTCCACAGCTGGTGAATGGGATTCCTCACCTCCCATCCCTTGAAAAGGAGACTCAGAACCAGTTGGGGAGGGAGCATCCATGCTTGGGGAAGGAACTGGTGATTCTTCAGGATCAGGAAGAGTTGACTTTAATTGATCCAATTTTTTCTTTAAATTGTTAACTCGGTTAGCAAAGGTTTTATATGCCTAAGAAGAAAAAGAAATTTACTTTACTCCTCTGGGAAAAGGGCCAAGAATATAACATTTCGATTCTGATCAGATTTCCTCATTATTATTAACTACACCATTAGAACAAAATAGGAAAATACCATCATGTGTCAAGCATGGAGTAGTTCCTCATCTGCACTGTTTGTGTTCCCTACACAACTGCCTAAGTCAGGAAGCCAGAGGACTTCTGTAATCCATCCTTCTTCGTCTCATCCACTCATTCACCCAAACAATATACTGAGAGCCTAAATGTGCTGTTCTAGGTACTGCAGATATTACAACGACCAAGATAGACAAATATCAAATCCAAAAATAAAGGACAGCCTGGAAAGTTACATTCTAGTCACTTTTAAAAAAATAAACCTTTTATTTTAGAACAGTTTTAGGTTTTCAAAATAAATGTAGGGGTCTCCCTCTATTGGAATACCTCTCCTGACATTGCGGCAGGAGGTTTCTGACTTAAAAATATCTTGTTTTGCTAAAACAAACCAAACTAGATAAAAAAAAAAAAGTAAAGACAGTACAGAGGTTCATTCCCATATATCCCACACTCAATGTTCCCTATTATTACAATATACTAGTATAGCTCATTTATCACACTAATGAACCCACACTTCATTCAGCTTTGTTCAATTTTTATCTAATGTCCTTTCTTTAATCCAAGACCTCATTCAAGGTAACATTTATTAGTTGAGTCTCCTTAGGATCCTCTTGTTTGTGTTAGACTTTCCTCATTTGTGAAGGCTTTGGCAGTTTTGGAAAGTACAATCAGTTATTTCATACTGTCAATTGAGTTTCTTCTTTCTCATGATTAGACTGGTTACTGTATGTTCTATGAGAGAACAACATGAGTTTTAGAAGGCCAGGGGCAGAGTGCTATACTTGGAGTATTTGTCTCCCTGAACTCATGCAGGGCTTTCGTCCCTAAAGTCTTATGCTCATGGTATTAAGAGGTTGGAAATGTCACACAATCGTGGTAGGCTGTGGTCTGTGGGAAGTGATCGGCTGAGACGGGGTCATTAGGATGGAGTTCCCTATAACTGAATCCTGGTCTTTTGATTACCTTCCTTCCCTTTGGTTAGTTCAGGTAATTTACAAGAAGTTTAGTAAAATAATATTTCCATTCAATTTTCTGGTTAAATAAAAAGTATATGTGCTTCTGCCTAATTTTATTAACTACGACGAGGTTAGGCAATGGTCAGGGGGTGTCAGTCTGACCTCTAGCATTAGAAAGACCCAGGTCTTAACTTCAACTCCACCACCTGCTGGCTATTTTACCTTGTGCAATGTCACTAATCCTCTTCAAAATGATTTTTTCTATGAAATATGGAGATAGTAATGCTTATTTTCCATAAAGTTAGACAACATATGCAAATAGTCTATAACACACGGTAATTATTCAATATAGGACAGCTTTAATTATTACTTACATTGGCTACTACTTTTACTTCTTTGTACTGTGCTTCATAGAAAATTCCAGCATTTTCCAGTGCTTCTGTTAGTGAGGGCCCATTTTTCACCTGCTTATCTAATCCATTCACAAATTCCTCCAGCTTGGAACTTGCCTCTTCAAATTCTTTGGAGAACTTTTTCCCTCCTGTTTTATCTAAAATAACAGAGAAAGTACTCATTTCAGGATATAAAAATGATCTTCTGAAAAAAAAAAAACAAAAAAACAACCAACCTTCTTTGTTCTTGCTTTTCTTTGACTTTGTTATTGATGCATTATTGTGTTAATATTTTCAGTCTCATTACTGCACCTTAAGGAGGCTTCTTCAAGTCAAAGGCACACTAAAAATATTGTATAGGGCTGGTGCTGTGATGTAGTGGGTGGGGCCACTGCCTGCAGTGCAGGTGTCCATAAGGGTGCTGGTTCAGGTCCTGGCTGTTCCACTTCCAATCCAGCTCTCTGCTATGGGCTAGGAAGGCAATTGAAAATAGCCCAAGTGTTTGGGCCCCTGTACTTGTGTGGGAGACCCGGAGGAGGCTCCTGGCTCCTGGCTTTGGATCAGCTCAACTCCAGCTATTGCAGCCATTTGGGGAGTGAACCAGTAGATGGAAGACCTCTCTCTTTCTCTCTCTCTAACTCTGTTTTTCAAATAAATAAATACATCTTAAAAAAAAAAAAACAAAAACAAACAAAACAACAACTGTTCACAGGATGGGTTTTGGTCTAGTGGTTAGACACCCATGTCCTACATCAGAGTTCCTGGATTTGATCCCAACTCCTGAACCCAGCTTCCTGCTGATGAGAACCCTGGGAGGCAGTGGAGATGGCTCAGGTAGAGGGGTTTCAGCCACCCATGTGGGAAACTTATATTGAGTTCCTGGTTTCAGCCCCTCAACCACTGCAGGCATTTGGAGAGTGAATGAGAGGATGGGAGCTCTTGCTTTTTCTCTCCCTCTCAAAAACAAAAACTTCACAAAGCACATTCATAAATCTGAATGAGAGAAGTAAGTATAAAAGCACATGTATTAAAACCGAGGTAAAAGGCCAGCTCTCTGCTGTGGCCCGGGAGTGCAGTGGAGGATGGCCCAAGTACTTGCACCCCATGGGAGACCAGGATAAGTACCTGGCTCCTGCCATCGGATCAGTGCGGTGCGCCGGCCACAGCACACGGGCCGCGGCGGCCATTGGAGGGTGAACCAATGGCAAAAGGAAGATCTTTCTCTCTGTCTCTCTCTCTCACTGTCCACTCTGCCTGTCAAAAACAAAACAAAACAAAACAAAAAAAAAACCCACGAGGTAAAGAGAGGCCGGAGCTGTGGTACAATGGTTTCAGCTACTGTCAGTGACACTGGGATCTCATAAAGGGCACCAGTTTGAGTCCTGGCTGCTCCACTTCTGATCCAGCCCCATGCTAATGCACCTGGGAAGGCAGTAGAAGGCAGATTGAGTGCTTGGGCCCTTGTCAATCATGTGAGAGCCCCAGATGAATTCCAGGCTCCTGGCTTCAGTTTGGCTTGGCCTTGACTGTTGTGGCCATTTGGGGAGTGCACCAGTGGACGGAAGATCTCTCTCGCTGTCTCTCCCTTTCTCTCTGTAACTCTGCCTTTCAAATAGTCTTAAAAAAGAATAAAGGCAAAGAAAGTTCAGCTAAAAGAATTCTGCTAATTGCTTCTTCTGCTGGTACAGTCTCCAAATGGCTGCAACAGCCAAGGATGGGCCAGCCTGAAGACAGGAGCCAGGAGCCTCTTTTGGGTCTCCCACATGGGTTCAGGGGCCCAAGTACTTGGGCCATCTTTCCACTACTTTCCCAGGTGCATTAGCATGGAGCTGGGTTGAAGTGGAGCAGGTGGGACTTGAACTGGTGCCCACTCGGGATGCTGGCCCTGTAGATGGAGGTTTAACCTGTTATGCCACAACGCCAGCCCCTGCTAATCACTTTCTTCACAAATTAGATACCACATTCTACCAAGGAATAACAATGAGGCTCAATTCCATTTATGCTATAGCTTTTGCATTACAGCAGATAATAAAAATGTCTTATTTACTTATTTTTGCATTTGACAGGCAGAGGGGGAGAGAAGAGTGCTACTCTCTGCTGGTTCACTTGCCCAATGCATGCAATGGGACAGACTGGGTGAGTCTAAAGCTGGAGGTGGGAACTCAATCCAGGTCTCCCAAGAAGGTGGCAGGGACCCAACCACTTGATCCATAACCAGGACTTCCCAAGATCTGCACTGGCAGAAAGCTGGATTCACTAGTAGAGCTGGGTACTGAACCCTGACACTCTGATACGGGATGTGGGGACGTTTATCATCGTCTTAACCATCAAGCTAAACTAACCTGCCCCTAGATATATCTTTTGGATGAGAAACCAAAGTGAACATAAAGTGGCTTCTTCAATGCTTCACACTAAAATTTTTGTTCTACCTGAAAAAGATCCTTAATAATTAGATATATACCTCTGCCTTACTGACTGCTAGAATATGACTTTGGATATGGGTACAAATGCTGGCCTTGCCTCTTATCAGCTGTGCTATTAATCTCATGACACCTCAGATTTCTCATTTAGAAAACAGAGATTTTTGGCAGCAGTCGTCAGCTTCTAGCTGCCTTACTCAGCTTGCTGTTCCCCCATGGCATGTAGCAGCACCAGCTAGTTGCTAGGTGTCCTGACTGCCCACTCCTCCTATGTAACATGTTCAATAAATCCAACCCTGCTTACTCAAAAACAAACAAACAAAAAGAAAGCCAAAAACTCAGAAGGGTTTTTTAGTATGCTTTTGAGTTGATGTAAAGGCTACATTAGATAAATGTTAAGATATGGTGTAGAGACAAAACAGGCACCCAAATGAAAGCTAGTTGTCATTTACTCATTATTTCAAAACTATGTATCAAATGTTTATTATGTACTAAGATTACCGTAGGCACTGGGGATAGCAATGAACAAATAAAGATGATTTCTGGAGGCTGGTGAGTGGCATATCGGCTAAGCCGCCACATGCAGCGCTTGCATTCCCACATGGGCAACAGTTCAATTCCTGGCTACTCTACTTCCCATACAGCTCCCTGCTAATGCACTTGGGAAGCTTGGGCCCCTGTACCCACGTGGGAGATCCAGAAACACCTGGCTCCTGGCTTTGGGCTGGCCCAGCCCTGGCTGTTGCAGCCATTTGGGGAGTGAACCAGGGGATGGAAATCTCTCTCTGTAACTCTGCCTTTCAAATAAATAAACCTTAAAAAAAAAAAAAAGATAATTTCTGCCTTCATGAGGGTTATACTCTAATAGCTATTTTTTTAAAACTTTACTTAAGGTAGATTAAATTCTTTATTCTTTTTTTTTTAAAGATTTATTTATTTATTTGAAAGATGGAGTTACAGAAAGGCAGAGGCAGAGAGAATCACTCCCTCAACTGGCCACAACAGCCAGAGCTGGGTTGATCCGAAACCAGGAGCCAGGAGCTTCTTCTGGGTCTCCCTTGGGTCATTTTCTACTGCTTTCCCAGACCACAGCAGTGAGTTGGTTAAGAAATGGAGCTGCTGGGACTCAAACCGGTGCCCATAAGGTATGTTGGCACTGCAGGTGGTGGATTTACCTGCTATGCCACAGTGCCGATCTCTAGTATGATTATTTATTATTTACAATGTAAGGAAAAGAGGGCAACTAACAAGATTTTATGAGGCATTAGCGTGACCTCATTAAAAAGCATGCCCCAAACGACAAACCACACATGTGCAACACAAGTGTCTATATATAAGCTCATATACCAAGAAAGACTAGAAAGGAGGGGAAGGATAAGAATTTACTTACTGCTTTCTACAATCTAATGTTCTCTTTATAGACTACCTGAAAATGACATTTCTGGAAAGAAAAATCTGAATTATTCTATTTAAAGGATGTAAGTGGGTTGGGCATTTGGTACAGTGGTCAAGCTGCCACGTGAGACACCTGCAGCTCACATTGGAGGGCCTGGGTTCAAATCCTGGCTTTGCTCTCCATTCCAGCATCCTGCTGGTGCACACCCTGGGAGGCAGTGTTTGGGTTGCTACTACTCACTTGGAGACTCGGAATAATTCCTAGCTGCTGGCCTTGGTCTGTCCTAACCCTGGCTGTTGTGACAGATCCCTTTCTGCTTTTCAAATAAACATATAAAAACTAAAAAGATGTAATTATTACCTTTTAAGCATTTGAGAGTTTCTGTGCTGCACACATCCACCCTCATAGTTGATAGCTGCTTTTCCTTCAGTTCTATCTGATCTTCTGAGCGCTTGTATAGTAACAGCTCTTCAATGAGGGCCTGAGACTGAACACAGACCAGAAACACATTTCATTTACAAGCTCATTCAATTATTCTATCTCCTATTAGAACAACAACAACAAAAACCTAAGCTAAAACCTAACAAAATCTTGAGGGGAAACAAAAAACCCTTACTTTTCCTCAATCAATTCTGATGTCAAAACCATAAATTCATTTATATACTGTAAAAGATCCTGCCCCTTATTTAAGGCTAATTTACACATACAGGATTAAAACTGAAACAAAGGTCCAGTTATATTCTCTTTAAATTTTAATTAGGTAAACATGGTCTTCTGTTACTCTTAAGAAATTTCTAATTTATCAGAGCTTTACAGAAAGATGAATCTGTTTGTTGGCATGAATTCATTACAGAATTTAGCTGGTAATAGATATTCTGGGAGAAGGTTATTTTTGGGGGAACAGATAAAACTTCAAGTAATCTAATCCCAATTTGGAATTCTTTAAAACATAAGTGACAAAAAGAAGTCTTACTGGACCATGTGGGAAACTATAACACAAAACTGAATATATTCTGTAACTTACTCGAAATTCAGCAACTATCTTAGACTTGAGAGCAGCTTTTGGATTTGTGGATGCTGTTGGAATTAAACAAAAGGCTGTTAAGAATATAAACACAAAGAGTTGACTAAAATTAAAGAAAAATTTCAGCTTTTTAGTTATGGGTATACTCTGAATATATGGCAAACATGCGCATTTAAATCATAATATAAATCCTGTATTAAATAATGGACTATGAAATCTAAACACTCTCAAGCATGTTTAATGTCAAAATACACTACTTAATTAGGCCTAACCTACTTACCTCCAACAGACCCTTGAAGCATAAAGTACCTTCTTTTCCTAGTCTGACTGAGTAAAAGGAGATTGCAACACCTCAAATTAAGAGTGTTCAGGAAGAGGACATCCACTTAATCCTGAGCACTGGCAGAAGAAAATTACTTACAAATATCAACTCTATTTCCTACGTATTGAGCTGTGGATTCCTTTTGCTGCTGACTCAATTCATGGCAAACATAAGAAAGTTCTAAGCACATCACCACTGTGGTTGAACTTTGGCTCAAAGGACGACTCTTGGTGATCTTATGCATGCAATTTACGACCAAAAGGATGTCACAGGACTCCCTTAATCATGATGAATATCATACGCTTGCTGGAGCAAAACCATCCTAAGAATCTTGTTTCACCTCCCAATTCTCACTGTCTTTTACCTTGGTCTCTCCACACCTTCAAGTCTCTCTCAATATTCCTCAGTTTGCCCACAGCAGCCTATCACATGCAGTATTCCACTCCCTTGATCTCATGCTGGGTAAACTGGTAAAACATTATAGGAGCTCCAGTTAGAGAACGAGCTTCTGGCCAGGATTTGAGGCCCACGTATAATTTGGCAGAGCGTATCCCCAATCTGAAGGATTTCATGGCTCCCACAGAAATGCTTCTTAATGCCTATTCTCTTCTTCAGCTCTGTTGTTTAATTTCAGCTGCCTCTAACTTCATGTATCTTTGAATCTGAGAATTAGCCTGGGCACTATCAAGTTTTTTTTTTTTCTTCTTTCAATCCCCCAACTACTCTTGAATCTTCACTCAATCAAACCCTTTTTCTGCATTTCCTTTGTTTAAAGTGGTTTTTAAAGAAGTAACTTCATGATGGCTGGCTTAGTGTAAATCACTGGGAGCCTCCCGGGCCTGAAAAACACAGGCTTGCCCACGGTTTATGCCAGGTGCGATGTCAAATGGTCTACATTTTCTTCTGCTCCAAAAAGAGGAGGTAATTTTATATTAGTTGAGATTTTGTTCCTTACTTTGTGATTTCTTCCACTGCTTATTCGGTTGTTTGTTCAGATTTTCTTTCAGCTGCTTCTGAGTTTTGAAAGTTGTACCTGGAAAACATTTCAGTTTTTGCAATCTGGCATTATGGGAAGCTGTTCTGTCTGTCCACTTCAGTGCCAAAGTTGTAGCATCAAAAAAGGCAATCCAAGACTGTGTGTTGTTTCTTTCTTTCCTTTTCTTTCAATACACCCATCAAATCTAAGAAGCCGTCAAATAACAGTAATTTCTATAATCAATGAAACTACCAATTCTGAAAATAACAGGGCAGGAGGTTTAAACGTACCAGTTATCAAACCCCAAGAAGAATTTAACAGCTTCTTAGAAGATGCTATTTTTAAAGCAAATGAGGGACATGATAGCAGACTATCACCAACTTCTAGTCAAAGATTTACTGACTTACATATTATCTGTTACAAAAGAAGTAATTTTTAAAAACCAGGTACACAACTTAGTACAAATCTAAGTTAAGAGAATCTGAAGACTGTTACTATATCCTTACTACCAAATGCCATGGAAACAAAGCTATTGAAAATCCTGTCCAAAAATTCTCCAGCAGTAAGAGGACAGGGTGGTATTTGTTAAACACCGACAAAAAACGTGTGAAATAATCAATTGAGCAAATACAGAAAAATGATTGGATGGCTACTGTCACTTAATATGCTTCACTTTTCTAGTCAATAAAAAGAAAATCCAACCTCCCACTCCAAAGCCTGAACCAACTTAAACTTTAATGCAAACAGATCTAAATTTTCATAAGCATTTAATTTTAAACAAATAGGGCCAAATCCAAAACTTTATTTTGTACTATTATACAACATCATCATATCTATAAAATATATATAATTATAAAGAGTGACTCAAATTTTCTTTTAGAAAGAAAAGATACTTACTCAAAGCTTCTCTCAATGCCACAATCATTTCTTCTGGGTACACATTTCTATCTTCCCAGATTTTAAAGATTCGTTCTATAGACTTAGAAACAGATGGATCTCTGAAGAGAAGGAAAAATAAAAACTGTAAAAACACTGACTTTCTCCTCAAACTAAACATGACAGCCTGTGAATTATATAACATCATGTATTTACAAAGATTGTTTTATTTTCTCCTAAGGACAGTATAATATATAAGAAAGAGAAGATGGTGCTTCTGGAGGTTTTAAACACAATTTTCTGGAGATTTAACCATAATAGACTATTTCATTTCTTTTACTTTTTAAATAAATTATTTATTTTATTGTTATTTAATTACAGAGAGGCAAAGGCAGAGAGAGAGAGAGAGAAGTCTTCCATCTTCACTGGTTCACTCCCCAAATGGCTACAATAGCCGGAACTGGGCTGATCCAAAGTCAGGGGCCAAGAGCTTCTTCAGGGTCTCCCACGTGGGTGCAGAGGTCCAAGGACATGGGTCATCTTCTATTGCTTTCCCAGGCCATAGCAGACAGCTGGATCAGAAGTGGAGCAGCCGGGTCTTGAAGGCACCCAATATGGGATGCTGGCACAGCGTTGGTTCCTCATTTCTTTTACTTTTTATGCTGAGATGTTTCCTCTCATTAAAAAAAAAAACCCTAAAAATCCTAAAAGCCCATACATCTATTATAGAACACTAAAAAAATTAAGGAAAACCCTAAAGAAAAACTACTCACTTTCACCAAATGGAAATTTACAGAGTAACGATTTCAGCATTATTATCTTTTATCTTTTCCCCCCATGAATGTATTGTATTTGAAAGTATTTATAAACACACACAACTGTACTCTATTGTTTTCACTTGACAAAACAAGCATTTCCCAAAGTTCTGAAACAATTCCTGGCAAACATTTTTCTTTTAATTAAAAAATTTCTTTATTTGGAAGACAAGAGGAAAGCATTCATTTGCTGGTTCACTCCCCAAATGACATCAAAGGCTGGGGCACAGCCAAAGGTCAGTAATGCAATCTCCCACACAGCTGGCAAGAACTTAATTACTTGAACTTTCACCACTGCCTCCCAGGATCTGCATCAGCAGGCAACTGGAATCAGGAAGCAGAGCTGGGACGTGAACCTTTGTACTTCGATGTGGGTTCCAGGTATATTAACCAGCATCTTAACTGCAAGGCTAAATGCCTGCCCCATAAACATGACTGTTAATGACTACATAATATCTTATTAGCATTTAAAAATTTGTATTATTTCCGAGTACAGTTTTATTCACAAAGGTCTAAAAATCTTCCGCTAAGACTGTTCTTAGAGAGATCTTCCATCTACTGGTTCACTCTCCATATGGCTGCAATGGCTGGAGCTGGGCTGATCCGAAGCCAGGAGCCAAGAGCCTCTTCTGGGTCTCCTCTGTGAAAGGAGGGGCCCAAGCTCCTGGGCCATCCTTTGCTGCCTTACCAGGCACATTAGCAGGGAGCTGGATTGGAAAGAGCCCCACATAGGATGCTGGTGCTGCAGGCGGCTGCTTAACCCCCTGTGCTACACACAACGCAGGTCCCTGCTTGGTTCTTGAAAGTAGTTTTGGTTTGCATGCAAATCTAGAATAAAGATTTGTTTGGTAACTGCCAAATGGCTTCCACCACTGCTGCTGCTGAGAAATCTGTTGTCAAACTGTAGTCTTTTTGGATGTCATCTGTCTGCTACAATTATTAATAATTTTTTAACTCTGGTTAAATACATGTAATATTTGCCATTTTAATCATTAAAAACTTCTTATTTGTAAAAAAGCAACTTAATATATTTTAAATATATAGTTTCAAGAGCATAATGATATTTCCTACCCACTCCTCCTTCTTAATTTTTCTTTTAATTTTTACCATGACAAAATTTCAATTTTCTTTATAGTCACAAGCTTAACCTTTCACTAAATACAGAATTCAACAAGTAGTAAGTAGAAAAATGGAGCCCTTGTGGGCAAATCACCCTCCAAAGTTGCTACCTGTTTACTGCTACCACACTGGGGCAAGGCTTCAGCATGGGAATCAGGGGCTCACAGACACTCAGGTACTCTGTTATCCATTCAATAACTCCCTACTACCTCTTCCTCCAGCTCAGGATATTCTCTAATCTTTTTTCTTTCTCCATGGATTTTCCTATTTTATGTATTTTATGTAAGTGTAATCATGCAATATTTGTGCCTGACTTATTTCAGCACAGTGTTTTCAAGGTCCATCCATGAATCAGAAGTTCATTCTGATTAAAAAAAAAAAAAAGCCCTGTGGTATAATACACATAAAATTCATAAAATTCACCATCTTAACCATTTTAAAGTATACAGTTCAGTTTGGTATATACAAATTGTTACATAACAAAACTTTTTATCTTGCAAAATCAAATTCTTTTTCTTCTTTAAGAAAGATTTATTTATTTTATTTTATTTGAAAGTCAAGTTACAGAGAAAGAGGAAGAGACAGAGATTTTCCATCTGCTGGCTCACTCCCCAAAGGCCATAATGGCTGGGGCTGGGCCAGGCCAAAGCCAGGAGCCAAGAGCTTCATCCGGCTCTCCCCAAGCACGTGGGCCATCTTCTGCTTTTACCAGGCACATAAGCAGGGAACTGGATTGAAGAGGAGCATCTGGGACTTGAACCAGTGCCCATATGGGATGCCGGTGCCACGGGCATCTGTTTAACCTGCTGCACCACAGTGCCAGCCCTGCAAAACTCAAATTCTATACCCATTACACAACACCATTCTCCCAGTCCCATAGCAACCACCATTTTACTTTGTCTCTGATTTTGATTATTAAAGGCACTTCAAACAAATGCAATCACATAATACCTGTCTTTTGTGACTAGCTTATTTCACTTAGTATAACATCAGCAACCTTCATTCATGCTGCAAAATGTGTCAAAATTTCCTTCCCTTTTTATGTTGAATAATATTCCATTATATGCAACACCACGTTTTGTTGATCCATTTATCTGCTGATAAGATATTTGGGTTACTTCTCCACTTATGCTATCGAGAACAGTGCTAGGAACATGAGTATACAAATATTGAGTCCCTGTTTTTAGTTCTTTTGGGAATATATTGCTGGATTATATGGTATTTCTATGATTAATTTTTGAAAAACCACCAAACTATTTTCGAGAGCAACCACATCATTTTATATTCCTACTAGAAAGGTAGAAGAGTTTTACTTTCTTTGCATCTTCTCCAACACTTGTGGTTTTTTTTTTTTTTAAGGTTTTTGCTTGTTTTGTTTTTAAATTTTTATTTACTTATTTTCGTCAGTTAATTGAAAGGCAGAGAGACAGGGATAGGCAGGCAGAGATCTTATGTCCACTGGTTCATTCCCCAAATGCCAGCAAAGTCAAAAGTGAGGAACTCAACTGAGGTCTCACACATGGGTGCCATCACTGCTGCCTGCCAGGGTGCTCATTAGCAGGGAGCTGGATTGGAAGCGGGGCCAACAACTCAAACTTGACACTTCAGGAATCACTTATGGAGATGTGGGCAATCCAGTGTCTTAACCACTATGCCAAACAACGACCCTATAGTTGTTCTATAAATTGCCTGATAGAAGCCAACTGCTGATAGAGGTAAAACCCCTGATAGGGGTAAAACTACTGCCTGCAGTGCCAGCATGCCATATGGACATCCTTCGAGTCCCGGCTTCTCCACTTCTGATCCAGCTCCCTGTTAATATGTCTGGGAAAGCAGCAGAAGATGGCCCAAGTCCTTGGGTTCCTGTACCCACATGGAGACCAGGAAGAAGCTCCCAGCTCCTGGCTTTGAATCAGTACAGCTCCAACTGTTGTGGCCATTTGGGGAGTGAACCAGCAGATGGAAGACTTCTCTCTTTCTCTTTGCCTCTGCCTCTCAGTAACTGCCTTTCAAATAAATAAATAAATCTTTAAAAAAAAAAATTGCCTGATAACCCAGTATCTGAAGCCCATAGTGTATATGTGTGTATCTAAATCTGCTAATTTTTTACTTGTTTCCTGTGTGTTTGGGTTTCTCTGACTGTGAGTACATGTGCATTTGTTCTTAATCTGGGACCCCTGTAGCCTGAACAGGAAATGTGCTCTTCTAATGTCTACCCAGAAAACCAGGCGGAGCTAATCACACAAGAGCACCTTAAATCCTAGGCTTACATGTGCAGATCATCTGATGCTACTGATACTTGTCAACATCAGCTCTGTCTTTCCAGTATGTCATGTTCCTAGTTGGCTGGTCATTCTGCCAAAAGTCAAGTTATAGGTGTGTAATGTCTGTTTTTTCAACTAGACTACAGACATTTTTCAAGGCAGAAACTGTTAACTATTTATTGTTGTTTCTTTGCTATTACTACACGGTGATCACTAAATATTAGCTGAATAAACGACACTTGTATTTTATCATTTTCAAACCAAACTATTCATTTTAAGTCCCAGTAGTCAGTCACCAAAAAATCTCAAGAAAACATGCTGGAAAAAACAACAACTGCTACCTCTCTTCTTGTGCAACTACAGATGCTTGAAAGTTTTGAACTTTAGTTTATGCTATTATACTAGTTAAAAATATCAAGGAAGAAAGGCCAGGGTTGTGGCACAGTGAATTAGGGCATGGCTGCAATGCCAGCATCCAATATGGGTGTTAGTTCAAAGTCTGGCTGCTTCACGTCCAATCCAGCTCCCTTCTAACGTCCCTGGGAAGGTAATGAAGTAAGGTCGGAGCACCTGGGCCCCTGACACCCATGTAGAGACTCGGATGGTGTTCTGGGCTCCTGGCTTCAGCCTGGCCCAGCCCAGGCTATTGTGGCCATTTGAGGAGTGGGCCAGCAGATGGCAAATCTCTCTCTCTCCTCTCCTCCTCTCTATTTAACTCTGCCTTTCAAATAAATGCTAAGTCTTTAAAAAATATGTATCAAGGAAGAGATCTTTGGCTCAGTTTATGCACCTTCAGTGCAGCTTCTTTCCTTTGTTAGTCATCAGTTACTATCCACATGGGTAACTTTTACAGAAAAATTCATCCTAATACCATGGGAGGAAAAAAGCATGAGTGACAGTATGGACAGAAATCAGTAACAAATCAATGCTGCAAACGCAAACTCAGTTGTAAGTAAGACAAACTCAGTTGTAAGTAAGACAAAACTGGTATAATTTGGATGGCTTAAACTGTAATACTCTTTAAATTCTGTATGTGTTAATGTGGATTTGCTTAACTCATTCATATTTCTTAAAAATAAATTCTGTGATATTCACAGCGAGTGGTGAAAATCTCACTTTGTCTTACAGGGAAACTTGTGATTTTATGAGTTTAAAAGTGATTCACCAGTCTAATATAAATTCACTAACAAAATTAAAAATAAGAGTTGGGTATGATATAGTAAAAACAGTACTGCATGCAGAAACCAGAGATTTTAGTCCTGGCTTTAGTAAGAAGTCATTTGAGTAGGTTTTCTCATTTATAAAATGATTTTTACAAGGTAATTTCTGCTAGCTAGAAAATTTTTAGACTTATTCCTTATTTACAGAAACACAGAGCTCTCAAATTCCTACGGTTCAATCACCTGGCAAAAGATTTCTTCCAAAACTAAACCAAACCCAACCCAAATGCAGAAGAGCAGTTCACTCACCTTGGAATCCTAGTCCTCTATTTTAGCCACTGCTGATCAGTCTCAGCTGCTACTAAATTTACAATTGCCACACGTAACATAAAACATTTAGTTACAAACTTTTTTTGATTTGTAAGTAAAAAGAAAAAAAAATTAACCTTGCAGAAATGTCAGAACATTCAATAGATGTTTCCTTTGGAAGTCCTCCCTGCCATCCCAATTTAAAACAGCGAGGTCTTAGCAGGTTATTTCAAAGCCTAACACTGATGAACAGTACAAGAGGAAATACCCAGTTGTCACAGTTAATAGCACCATCTTGGCCATCACTAAGGGATGTGTATCAACACATCATTATAGGGATGTCATCAGACTAACTGGCTGTATTTAACAGGTTAAATGTGTTAAATGTCTGAATGGAATTGAAATAAGGGGTCAGCTCAAGGTGGAGTGAACCAGTGGATGGAAGACCTCTCTCTCTGCCTCTCCTTCTCTCTCTGTGTAACTCTGCCTTTCAAATAAATAAATAAATCTTTTTTTTTTTAAGATGATTTCATAGAAGTTAAAAATATAATGATGGTTACCAGGGGCTGGGGAGGGAAGTGAGAAAGGAAGTTATAGGGAAAGACTGACTGATAGGTACCAGGTTATAACCAGATAGGAATAAGAAGTTCTGGGGGCCAGTGCTGTGGCATAGTGGGTAAAGCCACCGTCTGCAGAGCCAGCATCCCATATGGGCATTGGTTCGAGTCCCGGCTGCTCCTCCCCCACCCCGCCTCTCCTTCTCTCTATGTAACTGATTTTCAAGTAAATAAATAAATCTTAAAAAAAAAAAAGTTCTGGTGTTCAATAGCATAGTAAGGCCAATATAGATAATGTTAATATACTGTATATTTCTCTATCAAAAACAACCTAGGAAAAAAACTGGATTCTCAGACATTTCTGAATCTTAGTCACCAACAGCTGCCTCTCAGGGTACACATCAGCAGGAAGCTGGAATTGGGACTAACCCATTGTAACATGGGATGCAGGAGTTCTAAGTGGCATCTTAATTGGCAGGCCAAATCTCATATCCTGTTAAGTCCTTTTTTTTTTTTTTTTTTTTTTTTTTTTTTTTTTACAGACAGAGTGGACAGTGAGAGAGAGAGACAGAGAGAAAGGTCTTCCTTTGCCGTTGGTTCACCCTCCAATGGCCACCACGCTGTGGCCGGCGCACCACGCTGATCCGATGGCAGGAGCCAGGTACTTATCCTGGTCTCCCATGGGGTGCAGGGCCCAAGGACTTGGGCCATCCTCCACTGCACTCCCTGGCCACAGCAGAGAGCTGGACTGGAAGATGGGCAACCGGGACAGAATCCGGCACCCCGACCCAGGAACCTTAAGCCTATACAGAAGAAACACTTACGGTATTTCCACCCACCCCTTACCCATTTTACAAACATTACTAATTACCTATCAAGTGCAAAGCAGGCACTGTGCAGGGCATTGGCTCAAAGTCTGACAAAAAGTGATGAAAGAGAATAATGACAAAAATAATTTTGGGGTGGCATTTGGCATAACAGTAAAGATGCTACTTGGGGTACCCACATTCCATTGGATTGACAGTTTGGGTCCTGGCTCAACTTCCAATTCCAACTTTCTGCTAATGTATATACACTGGGAGGCAGCAGGTGATGGCTCAAGTAGTTAAGTCTCTGTTACCCATGTGGGAGTATCAGATTACGTTCCAGGCTCCTGGTTTTGGCCTGGTCCAGCCCCAACTGATGTGAACCAGTGGATGGAAGATTTCTTGCTATTTGTATCTATTACTCTGCCTTTATAAGCACAATGAAAATAAATAAATTTTAAAAGTCATATGAGCTAATTACAGTGCTGTGTAACAGTAGCAAAAAGGAAAAATTATTTAATCTAGATCGGAAAGGGAAGGCAGAGAGAATTTCTTGAGGATATCAAATCTATCAGGAAGGTAGAGGGACAGAGAGAGCAGAACCCCAATGGTTGGGGCCGGCGCCATGGTGCAATAGGTTAATCCTTTGCTTGCGGCACAGGCATCCCATATGGGTGCCAGTTCTAGTCCTGGCTGCTCCCCTTCCAATCCAGCTCTCTGTTATGGCCTGGGAAAGCAGTAGAAGATGGCCCAAGTTCTTGGGCCCTTGCACCCGCATGGAAGACAGGAAGAAGCACCTGGCTCCTGGCTTTGGATCTGCGCAAATCCAGCCGTTTCAGTCATTTGGGGGGTGAACCAACGGAAGGAAGACCTTTCTCTCTGTCTCTCCCTCTCACTGTCTGTAACTCTACCTCTCAAATAAATAAATACAATCTTAAAAAAAAAAAAAAAAAAGAACCCTAATGGTTCCAATTCTCTAACTGGGGATGTGTGATATCACTTTATCATTTAGTGTACAACTGTTCTAGGCTATGAATTCAACTTTCAGAAAGAGTTTTTTTCAATTAATTTACTCAGTTTTATAATTTGAAAAATCATGTTTAGTCCAAATAAGTATTTTTTTTGGTATACCATTTCAATCTCTTTAGTGGCAACATTTTGAAATTATAAAATAAGCATGACAAAAAAGTTGTATAAGACATGTACATGGGGCAGGCGCTGTGGCGCAGTAGGTTCATCTTCCGCCTGTGGCGCCAGCATCCCATATGAGCACCGGTTCAAGACCTGGCTGCTCCTCTTCCAATCCAGCTCTCTGCTGTGGTCTGGGAAAATGGTAGAAGATGGCCCAAGTCCTTGGCCCCTGCACCCACACTGGGACACCCAGAAGCTCCTGGTACCTGGTTTCGGCCTGACCCAACACTGACCATTGTGGCTGTTTGGGGAGTGAGCCAGCATATGGAAGATCTCCCTATTTCTCTAACTCTGCCTTTCAAATAAAAATAAATAAATCTTTTTTTGACAGGCAGAGTGGACAGTGAGAGAGACAGAGAGAAAGGTCTTCCTTTGCCGTTGGTTCACCCTCCAATGGCCGCCGCGGCCGGCGCGCTGCGGCCGGCGCACCGCGCTGATCCGATGGCAGGAGCCAGGAGCCAGGTGCTTTTCCTGGTCTCCCATGGGGTGCAGGGCCCAAGCACCTGGGCCATCCTCCACTGCACTCCCTGGCCACAGCAGAGAGCTGGCCTGGAAGAGGGGCAACCGGGACAGAATCCGGCGCCCCGACCGGGACTAGAACCCGGTGTGCCGGCGCCGCTAGGCGGAGGATTAGCCGTGAGCCGCGGTGCCGGCCAAATAAATCTTTTTTAAAAAAAAACTTAGTTATTTCATATTTAGGTACTGAATTAACAGAATTAATTTTTGTCCATAGGTGGGATCTAAGTTCATTTTTTCTATATAGAGTCAATTGTACCAGCATTACTTATGAAAGTATTATTTTTAGACCACTTGTAGTACTATCAAGTACACAAATACATGACAATACTTTAAAAGTTCTGGACGGGCTGGCAATGTGTTGCAGTAGGTTAAAGCCCTGAACTGCAGCGCTGGCATACCACATGGGTGCTGGTTTGAGTCCTGGCTGCTCTATTTCTGATCCAGTTCCTTACTAATGGCCTGGGAAAGCAGTGGAGTACTTGGGCCCCTGAACCCACATGGGAAGCCAGGAAGAAGCTCCTGGCTCCCGGCTTCAGCCTGGCTCAGCCTTAGTCGTGGTAGCCATTTGGGGATTGAACCAGCAGAGGAAAGACCTCTCTCTCTTTCTACTTCTCTCTGTTAACTCTGCCTTTCAAATAAATAAAAAGAAATCTTTTAAAAGAACCAAGTTCATGGAAAGATAGAATCAAAAAGATAAATTTACTGGGGCAGGCACTATGTTGCAGTTGGTTAGCCTGCCCCAAGGGATGCCTGCATCCCAAACTGAAGAGATTGTGGTTCAAACCCTGGCTACTACATGTTTCTGGTCTAACCTCCTGCTCATTTGCCCAGGGTAGGCAGCACAAGATGGCCCAAGTATTTTGGACCCTTGCCACCCATATGGAAGACCCTAGTCTTGGTTGTTGAAGGTATCTGGGGAATGAAGAGTAGATGGAAGATATCTCTCTCCCCTCTTCTTTCTCAATCACTCTTTCAAATAAATGAATCCTACTTAAAAAAAAAAAAAAGATAAATTTTGATGCAAAAAAGAATTTTGAAATCCATGCAGACTCTTCTTATACTGGCCCGTTGGGGCTGGCACTGTGGCATAGAGGGTAAGGCTGCCACCTGAAATGCTGGCATCCCATATAGGTGCTGGTTTGACTCCTGGCTGCTCTACTTCTGATCCAGCTCTCTGCTACTGGACTGGGAAAGCAGTGGAAGATGGCCCAAGTCCTTGGGCCCCTGTACCCACGTGGGAGGCCTGGAGGAAACGCCAGGCTCCTGGCTTTGGATTGACACAGCTCAGCCTTTATGGCCAACGAATGGAAGACTCTTGTCTCTCTCTCTGCCTCTCTGTAACTCTGCCTTCAAATAGATAAATAAAATCTTAAAATATATATATATACTTGTCTGTTTCTAGGCTTTCTTTTACTTTCTACCAGTTTTCAGCAGAAAGCTGGATACATAGTGGAGGAGCTGGGTCATGAACTAGGCCCTCTGGCATGGGAGAGATCTGGGTACCTCAAGCAGTGACTTAACTGCTGCACCAAGTGCCTGCCCCAGGAATGTTCTAATGGAAACACATTTATTTGACTCTTGATTGAATTCATTCAATGGTATAGAAGTCGAAGGTCCTCAATTTTCTGGGACGTCATTTCAGTTACTTCTATATATTTTTTAAAGAAATGTAAACCATTCTGTCTAAAGTTTCAAATTCACTGAGAGTATGCTCATATTATCCTATTCTTATCCTGTGTCTTTAATCTTGATCAATCTAATATTCAATTATTATTTTCTCAGAGAACCAATGGTTCCTTTGTAGAACACTTCTATTGCATATCTGTTTGGTTTGGTTTTTTCCCCAACTTCCTTAATATGGTAAAATATATGGAAGATAAAATTTACCATCTTAACCCTTTTAAGTGTATAGTTCAATGGCATTAAGTAAATTTATATTGTTGTGCAACCATCACCACCATCCCTATCTCCAAAATTCTTTGCATCAGAGTTACACATAGAGAGGAGAGGCAGAGAAAGAGAGGGGTCTTCCATCCGATGGTGCACTCCCCAATTGGCCGCAATGGCCGGAGCTGTGCTGATCTGAAGCCAGTAGCCAGGAGCTTCTCCCGGGTCCCCCACGTGGGTGCAGGGGCCCAGGATTTGGGCCATCTTCTACTACTTTCCCAGGCCATAGCAGAGAGCTGGATCGGAAGTGGAGCAGCCGGTCTCTAACTGGCGCCCATATGGGATGCTGGTGCTTTAGGCCAGGGCATTAAGTCACTGCGCCACAACACCGGCCCGAAACTGTACACATTAAACAAAAAGCTCCATCTTCCAACCCCAAACATTAACAGCCAGCATTCTACTGCTGTCTCTACAAATTTGACTATTATAGGTACCTTATTGTGTATTTGGGTTTTATTTTATTAATTTCTACTCTTATGAGGCAAGATGAAAACCCATGCATATTGATTCTAGTCTGAAATGAAGGAAAAGGAGAAGGGAAACTGGGAAATTAGTTAACAGGCTATTACAATAATACAAATAATAAAAAGAAAAAGAATAATGGAAAATTAAAAGGCATAGAACAAAGAAGAAACATTAATAGAAATCAACATCTGGTAAGAAATAAAGGAGTCCGGTGCTGTGGCATAGCAGGTTAAGCCTCTGCCTGTGACATTGGCATCCCATCTGTGCACCAGTTCGAGTCCCAGCTGCTCCACTTCTGATCCAGCTCCCTGCGAATGGCCTGGGAAAGCAGTGGAAGTTGTCCCAAGTGCTTAGGCCCCTTGACCCACATGGGACACCTGGAAGAAGCTCTTGGCTCCTGATTTCAGCGCCACCCAGCAGTAGCCATTGCAGCCATTTGGTGAGTGAACCAACGGATGAAAGATCTCTCAGAGTCTCTCCTCTCTCTCTCTTTTTTTAATTTATTTTTTAAAAAGATTTATATCTATTTGAAAGTCAGAGATGCACAGAGAGAAGAAAGGCAGAGAGAGAGAGAGAGAGAGGTCTTCCATCTGCTGGTTTACTCCCCAATTGGCCGCAATGGCTGGAGTTGTGCCGATATGAAACCAAGAGCCAGGAGCTTCTTCCAGGCCTCCCATGTGGGTGCAGGGACACAAGGACCCGAACTGGTGCCCACATGGGATGCCAGCGCTTCAGGCCAGGGAGTTAATCCGCTGCACCACAGCACTGGACCCTAACTCTGCCTTTCAGATAACAACAGTATTAATAAGTAAAGAAAAAAAAAAACTAGATTACTAAGGGGACATTAAAAGATCAAAAACCTTGGGGCTGGCACAGTGGTGTAGGGGGTAAAGCTGCCGCCTGCAGTGCCAGCATCCTATATGGGTACCGGTTCGAGTCCCAGATGCTCCACTTCCAATCCAGCTCTCTGCTGTGGCCTGGGAAAGGATACAAGATGGCCCAAGTCCTTGGGCCCTGCACCCACATGGGAGATCCGAAGGAGGCTCCTGGCTCCTGGCTTCGGATCTGTGCAGCTCCGGCCATTGCAGCCAACTGGGGAGTAAACCAGTGGATGGAAGACCTCTCTCTCTGCCTCTCCTACTCTCTCTGTGTAACCCTGATTTCCAAATAAATAAATAAATCTTTAAAAACAAAATCCATAAATTAGATTTAGGAGGGCTATTTGGCAGAACAGAATTAACAGAAGACTAAGAGGCAGGAAAATATGGTCGTAGTCTCAGCTCTTTTACTAAATTGTCATTTTACTCTGGGCAACTTCTTTTCTTTTTAAAAGAATTTTTTATATATTTATTTATTTGATTGAGAGAGGGAGAGAGATCCCATTCACTGGTTTATTCTTCATATGCACAGTTGGGGCTAGGCCAGATCAAAGCCATGATTCCAGAATTCATCTCAGTCTCCCACATGGGTGGTAGGGACTGGAGCCATCACTTACTGCCTCCCAAGATGAATGCTCTCAGGAAGCTGGAATCAGTAATGGAGCCGAGACGTGAACTCAACCATTCTGATATGAAAAGCAGGCATATTAACTGCTGGGCCAAACGCCTGCCTCTTATTTGTGGCAATTTCTTACCTGCTCTGGGCTTCAGTCTCCTCATTTTAGAGAAAACTAAAAACCAATGTGCTACAGTGGACATTGTAGCACAGCAGATTAAAAACCGCTGCTTGGAACACCTGCATTCCATGTCCAAGTGCCAGTTCCAGGCCTAGATACTCTGTTTCCAATCCAGCTTCCTGCTAACATGACTGGGAAGGCAGATGTTACTGGCCTAAATGACTGGGCCCTTGTCACCCATGCAGGAGACCTGGATAGAATTACTGGCTCCTGGGTTTCACCCATGCAGGAAACCTGGATAGAATTACTGGCTCCTGGGTTTGTCCTGCCCTGGGCATTTAGAGAGTGAACCAATGGATGGAAACTCAACAAAATGTTTTATGGGGAAACCCCACAAAATGTTCTCTCACCCCCCGCCTTTCAAATAAACTAATCAAAACCACCACGTTTGCAAGCTTGGTTACTGTACATCTTAAGTAATATTTATTTAAATAGCAATTTAAAATTTATAACATGGGGGCTGGAGTTGTGGCACAGTGGGTCTGCGACACTGGCATCCCAGATGAGCTCCAATTCAATTCTTGACTCCTGGCTTTGGCCTAGCCCAGCCCTGGCTGTTGTGGCCATCTGGGGGAGTGAACCAACGTATGGAAGATATTTCTCTTTCTCTGTGTAACTCTGCCTTTCAAATAAAGAAATGTATCTATTTAAAAATAAGATTTGTTTATTTGAAATGCAGAGTATAGAGAGGCACAGGCAGAGAGAGAGAGAGAGAGAGAGAGAGAGAGGTCTTCTGTGTAACTTTGAGTTTTAAATAAATAAATAAATACATACATAAATCTTTAAAAAAAAGATATATGTGAAAACTGATGGAGCAACTCTAATCTTACTGTTCCTTTAAAAAACTGTCTTAGATATTTATTCTTATACATTGAAATTGGACTAAACTTGCAATTCATAGGTTACATATTGGGAAAGAAACATTTTGAATAATACTGAATCTTTTCCTTCAAAATTACGTATCTCTCTATTTATCTGGGTTTTCTTTAATATCTTTTAGATTTTTCAAATTTGAGGTAGGGTGTGGTTTGGATAGTTCAGGATGAGAATTGTGGCTATTCAACCCCAGGTATTTTTGAAAGCTTAAACAAGTTACCTAACCTCTCTAAAACACAGTTGCTTCTTCCTCAAAATGAGGAAAGCAGTAGTAACTACTGTGCAAAGTTGTTTTAGAATTAAATGGTACCTCAATTTGTATAATATTTGGTCAATTACGAGTACTCACATTACTATTATTTTCATTTAAAAAAATATTTTATTCATTTGAAGGGCAGAGTTACAGAGAGAGAGAAAGAGATGGACCTTGCATCTGCTGGCTCACTCCTTGAATGGCTGGAATGGCAAGGGCTGGGCCAGGCTAAAGCCAGGAACCGGGATCTTTTTGTGGGTCTCAAACATGGATGCAGGAACCCAAGCACCTGAGACATCTACTGCTTTCCTAGGTGCAAAGCAGGGAGGTGGAACAGAAGTGGAGCAGCCTGCACTTGAACCACTGCCCATACAGGATGCTGGTGCTGCAGGAAGTGGCTTAACACAGTGCCGGCCCCTAATGTGTATCATGTATTTTTTTCTAAATATTTATTGACTTTCAATTAATGTGAAAGTCAGAGAGACAGATCTTCCATCCATTGGCTCACTCTTCCAATGTCTACAATAGCCAGTGTTGCACCAGGCTGAAACTAGGAGCCCAGAACTCAATGCATGTCTCTCATGTGGGTGGCAGGAGTCATCAGTAGCTGCCTCACATGCTGCTCATTAGCAGGAAGCTGGTTCAAAACCAGAGGAGCCAGGACTTGAAATAGGCATTCTGATGTGGGATGTGGCCATGCCATGTGGCAATTTAACTATGAGACAAAATGTCTACTCCGTGTACCTTCAAGCAGAACCAATATTTAATCTTTTGTAATAGCAAAGTGGACAAAATTAACAACACAAAGGAAGGAACAAGGATCATTCACTTCTGAATGGGCTAATAACAACAAATGGACCAATGTTTATATACATATAAAATCTGAGGAAACTTTTAGCTATTATGATTATTTCACATTATTATTTATCCTGTAACTGTAGTCTTTTGAATAACTTACAAATGCAATGTGACACAAAGAAAACACTGTTAATAACTGCAAAAAATCACATCAAATAAAAATTTGTATTTATATACCAGAATTCCCTCAAATATGATATTTAGTAGGTATTCAAAAACAACAGCCCCTGGTAAATGTTTCGCTGTTTTGAAATTAACATTGTGGGGCCAGCGCTGTGGTGCAGCAGGTAAAGCAGCCATCTGCAGTGCCAGCATCTCATATGGGCACCGGTTCAAGTCCCGGCTGCTCCTCTTCTGATCCAGCTCTCTGCTATGGCCTGGGAAAGCAGTGGAATATGGCCCGAGTCCTTGGGCCCCTGTACCTGCAAGGGACAGAAGAAGTTCCTGGCTTCTAGCTTTGGATCAGAACAGCTCTGGCCATTGAGGCCAACTGGAGAGTGAACCAGTGAATGGAAGACCTTTCTCTCTCTGCCTCTCCTTCTCCCTGTGTAACTCTGACTTTCAAATAAATAAATAAATCTGAAAAAAAATTAGCATTGTAAAGTCCCTGAAATAAAAATTTTAATATAATTTTCTTTAATTTTGAGAAAACACGCTTCTCTTCAACTTTTTTTTAAAGATTTATTTATTTATTTGAAAGGCAGAGTTAACATAGAGATAGAAAGAGAGGTGTGTGGGGGGGTGTCTTCCACTGGTTCACTCCTGATTGGCCATAACAGCTGGAACTGCGCCAATCTGAAGCCAGGAGCCAGGAGCTTCTTCTGGGTCTTCCATGCGGGTGCAGGGGCCCAAGCACTTGGGCCATCTTCTACTGCTTTCCCAGGCCACAGCAGAAAGCTGGACTGGAAGTCGAGCCACCGGGTCTTGAACCGGTGTCCATATGGGACGCCAGCGCTTCAGGCCAGGGTGTTAATCCACTGCGCCACAGCACCAGCCCCAAAAATTTTAAAAAATATAATATATAATATATATAATAATATAATTTTAAAAAATCTATTTGCTTAATTGAATGAGAGACATAGATGTAAAGGTGGAGAAACATCTCTCATCCCCCCAGCTCATTCTCCAAATACCTGCAACAGCTTAGGCTGGACCAGGCTAAATCCAGGAGCCAGGAACTCAATCCAGGTCTCCCATGTGGGCGACAGGAATTCTCAAGTACTTGAGCCATTACCTGCTGCCTCCTAGGGTGCTCATTAGCAGGAAGCTGGAATGGGAAGTGGAGCCAGAACTTGAACCCAGGTTATTCCAATATGTGGGCACCTCAATGGTATCTTAATTGCTGTGCCAAAGACCTACCCCAAAATATTGATATAGTAATATTCACTCTGAATCTTCAAACAGAAAGGTAGTATGGGTAATTCTCCAAAGTTATTTGAGCATGGAAGCCCTCTTTGTTTGATCACTTCATAAGAATACACTGGTAAATGATGGAAACAAGTTCCGCTAAGAATGAAGTAAATCAATATGGAATGGGGGGGTGGCAGCACTGTGGCGCAGTGGGTTAACGCCCTGGCCTGAAGTGCCAGCATCCCACATGGGTGCTGGTTTGAGACCTGGCTGCTCCACTTCTCATCCAGCTCTCTGCTGTGGCCTGGGAAAGCAGTAGAGGATGGCCCAACCCCTGTACCCACGTGGGAGACCCAGAAGAAGCTCCTGGCTCCTGGCTTCCGATCGGCGCAGCTCCGGCTATTGTGGCCAATTAGGGAGTGAATCATCAGATGGTAGAACTGTCTTGCTCACTCGCTCGCTCTCTCTCTGTCTCTCTTCTCTCTGTTTAACTCTGCCTTTCAAATAAATAAATAAATATTTAAAAAATATATGGTATTGGAAGTATTTCAGATTTATTATTTGAAAGGCAGAGTTACAGAGAGAGAGAGAGAGAGAGAGAGAGAGAGAGAGGTTGGTTGGTTGATCTTCTACCCTCTGGTTCACTCCTCAAACGGCCAAAATGGCCAGGGCTAAGCAAAGCCAAAGCCAGAAGCCAGAAGCCAGGAGCTTCTTTCCAGTCTCCTACAAGGATATAGGGGCCCAAGCACTTGGGCTGTCCTCCACTGAGAAAGCCCAGGCCCATTAGCAAGGAGCTGGATGGGAAGTGCAGCAGCTGGGACTCAGCACCCATATGGGATGCTGGTGAAGCAGGCAGCAACTTAGCCTACTATACCACAACACCGACCCCGGGAGTACAGTTCTCTTTAAAATACACAGATTTCATCAAGGGCACGATTTCAGAAAGACTCTGAAGGAAGAAATGAATTGTGTTCAAAACAAAACAAAAGCAGAGACAGCAGTTAGAAGTACATCCAGAAACTAGGGTCAGGAGACACAATGGTCAAGTTAGGATGGAGAGACCAACTTTTGAAAAGGAAACAGAGTTTTAAAGAAAAACATGCATATTAGCAGGAAAGTTATAATGAATCATTTTGAGCAAAATATCCTTGATTTTGAAATGTGCAACTATTATAATTCTTATTAATGGGTAAAAATAGACATTAAAATTCTACATTTTCTAAGCTTAGGTCCCAAACAGCTAACAGAGTTTACTCACTTTACTAGAGCAGCTGCTTCAGGAAGCACATCAGCAAACGACTCACGGAATATGATTGCATTTTTCCTTTTACAGTTCTGTATGACATCATTGGCAAGGTAAAAGAGATTCAAACGGTGGGGATATGCAGCTAGAGAAGACAAAAGAAAATAAAGAAAACCAAATGAGTCAATTAATACTTAGCTCAACTTATTCTAAATACAGTATTCTCAAACTGTAACTGCTATCTTTATACAAATGTAAAAGGATGGATGCAGAAACAGACAAATGACTTAGTGGATCAACTTACTGAGTGTACTAACAACTTTGATTACTTCTCTTTACATTTCTATTCAAAGTACTCCTCAAGCAGATTTCTCTTTCACTTTGCAGACATTTGGCACTTAAAAACTATAAACTGTGGAGAGGCTAAAACAAAACAACATTGTCCCCTCAAACATTTGGAAAAACGGAAAAAAAACTGAGTTGAAAAAACTCAACTTGTTGCATAGAGTGCAAGGTTAGTGCAAAGAGTACAGGGTTTGGAATCTATAAGAATGTAATCTTAGATAAATTAATTACTATTATTGTTGTATGCAGACCTTTTTATCAACCAATCCAGTTACTGTTTTTTTTTTTTTTTAATTTTATTTATTTGACAGGTAGAGTTATAGACAGTGAGAAACAGAGAGAAATGTCTTCCTTCCGTTGGTTCACTCCCCAAATGACCGCTATGGCCAGCACTGCGCCGATCCGAAGCCAGGAGCCAGGAGCTTCTTCCTGGTCTCCCATGCGGGTGCAGGGGCCCAAGCACTTGGGCCATCCTCCACTGCCCTCCCGTGCCCAATCCAGTTACCATTCAGAGAAGACCTAAGTCCTCTGAACTACCGGAAGGCTGAACATCCTAGGAAGTAATCTGATACAAAGGAAACACATCTAGATTAGGTTTTTTCAAAGGTCCAAGACAAATACCAACCAATTAACTGGAACCTTGAGCAAAGCCACCTCCAGATTTTTACAATGCTGGGCAATTTTTTTTTTTTTTTTTTTTTTGACAGGCAGAGTGGACAGTGAGAGAGAGAGACAGAGAGAAAGGTCTTCCTTTGCCGTTGGTTTACCCTCCAATGGCGGCTGGCGCACCGCACTGATCCGATGGTAGGAGCCAGGAGCCAGGTGCTTTTCCTGGTCTCCCATGGGGTGCAGGGCCCAAGCACCTGGGCCATCCTCCACTGCACTCCCTGGCCACAGCAGAGAGCTGGCCTGGAAGAGGGGCACCCAGGACAGAATCTGGCGCCCCGACCGGGACTAGAACCTGGTGTGCCGGCGCCGCTAGGCGGAAGATTAGCCTAGTGAGCCGTGGCGCCGGCCAATGCTGGGCAATTTTAATGTCCATGTGGATTAGCCAACGTATTTTCTAGTTCCTTGATCTCAAATTCACTCTTGCACACTTTAAAATTCCCTTCTCAGGGTGGATGTTTGGTGCAGTGGTTAAGAAGCCACTTGGGATGCTCCCACCCATATCAGAGTGCCTGATTTGAGTCCCAGCTCTAACTTCTGATTCAAACTTCCTGTTAATGCACAACTTGGAAGGCAGCAGATGATGGCTCACATTTTTAGGTCCCTGCCACCTGCATGGGAGACCTGGATGGACCTCTGGACTCCTGGCTTTAGCCTGCTAGAGTCTTGGCAGTTGTAGGCAACTGGGGAGTGAACCAGCAGATCAAAGATCTCTCTCCCTGCCTTTCAAATAAAATAAAAT